GAAATTAACGACTGCCTGGTCTTGTATTAGACACATATACTGTATACTGTACCAGTCCCTGCACAAATGACTATATATAAACAACTATTGCAAGTGTGTCAAGCAACATGGTGCACACTAATAATAATATACTATGCAAAGCAATCAGCTCTTTATAAATAGTATTCCAGGCATTTGGAGACGACATTCCATCACTGTAGTTGTTATTAAACATTGCTTGGTCCACCTGCCAACTAAATGCAATGCTCACTAGTTTCGCAAGTAATTAAATAGACTTGCTAAAAATATCAACTGCAATGCATCAATGTTTCTCTTTCTGTCTCACATTGGTGTAAGTGTCATCTAAAACAAATGTTCATCTATGGCTTTATTAATAATTGCATGGAAACATTCACACACTGGAATACCACTGGTGCATGAATAAAAAAAAACTGTACATGTACAAGGTATGATGAAATAACCAGTAAATAACTTCTACAGCAAATGTTAAAAACCTTTATCATATTGTTTGAAAATTTACATCAGTCATATTAAACATTTATGTCTCAGCACAATTCACACAGTGCATACAAGAGCAAGGTAACATTGGTGCTGCTGTTTCCACCTGGTATTAGATGCGTTTTTTGCCAATCTGATCCGAAGGAAGCTTGCGGTTTTGGACATTTTTTATACTACAAGGTATTCTGTGTTCTATACATTTCCACTCTCCACTTTCCAACAGGTTTTATTGTAGTTTTTGTACCAAGTCAAGAGTTATCACAGAAACCTAAAATTCTCGGGACAGGAGCATTTGTCCAAATTTCAATCTTCATTTTATTTAATCAGACATCATCTTAAAACAAGGCTTTAGTGTAAAATACCGAACTAACCCTTTAAGCACTGCAATTTAAAATGGATAAATAAAACAACTCATTTAAAATGTTGATTACATATGAAAACAATATATTTTTTTATTTTTTTATTTTTTTGCAAAATATGCATATTCAAATATTTAAGTATTTAGAGAGCTTGATTTGCAGGGCGGAGCTAACGAGATCTTTTGGCGCATAGTCTGGTGGAATTTTCTGTACAGCATCATGGGTAATGTCGTTTTTCAATGTTGGGCCTGATAAACCCTAAATTATGGGGATTATTGGTTCGCCACAAAGACGCCAATATCCAAAATCCGTTATAATTGGTCGCCAATTATTTGGTCATTTTCCAGTAGCACTTCATTGCAGTACATGACATTAAGGGGGCGGAGTTGGATCTAGATCTAAGGGGTGGAGATTGGTTGGGTTTGGGGTTGGGTTTGGGATCAGGGGGTGGAGATGGGTCGGATTAGGGGGTTGGGTTTGGGATCAGGGGGTGGAGATGGGTCGGATTAGGGGTGGGGTTAGGGATCAGGGGGTGGAGATGGGTCGGATTAGGGGTGGGGTTAGGGATCCGGGGGTGGAGATGGGTCGGATTAGGTGGTGGGGTTAGGGATCAGGGGGTGGAGATGGGTCGGATTAGGTGGTGGGGTTAGGGATCAGGGGGTGGAGATGGGTAGGATTAGGGGGTTGGGTTTGGGATCAGGGGGTGGAGATGGGTCGGATTAGATGGTGGGGTTAGGGATCAGGGGGTGGAGATGGGTCGGATTAGGGGTGGGGTTAGGGATCAGGGGGTGGAGATGGGTCGGATTAGGTGGTGGGGTTAGGGATCAGGGGGTGGAGATGGGTCGGATTAGGTGGTGGGGTTAGGGATCAGGGGGTGGAGATGGGTAGGATTAGGGGGTTGGGTTTGGGATCAGGGGGTGGAGATGGGTCGGATTAGGGGTGGGGTTAGGGATCAGGGGGTGGAGATGGGTCGGGTTAGGTGGTGGGGTTAGAGATCAGGGGGTGGAGATGGGTCGGATTAGGGGTGGGGTTAGGGATCAGGGGGCGGATATGGGTTGGATTAGGGGTGGGGTTAGGGATCAAGGGGGCAGAGATGGGTAGGTTTAGGGGTGGGGTTAGGAATCAGGGGGTGGAGATGGGTCGGATTAGGGGTGGGGTTAGAGATCAGGGGGTGGAGATGGGTCGGATTAGGGGTGGGGTTAGGGATCAGGGGGCGGATATGGGTTGGATTAGGGGTGGGGTTAGGGATCAAGGGGGCAGAGATGGGTAGGTTTAGGGGTGGGGTTAGGAATCAGGGGGCAGAGATGGGTCGGAATAGGGGTGGGGTTAGGGATCAGGGGGCGGAGATGGGTCGGATTAGGTGGTGGGGTTAGGGATCAGGGGGTGGAGATGGGTAGGTTTAGGGTGGGGTTAGGGATCAGGGGGCGGAGATGGGTTGGATTAGGGGTGGGGTTAGGGATCAGGGGGCGGCGATGGGTAGGTTTAGGGGTGGGGTTAGGGATCAGTGGGCGGAGAATTAATATACAGTTTGTACCGTATACAAATCATTATGTCTATGGAAAGTTTAATAATAAAACATGAAAACCCACCATGATCATTCTTATGGAATTTTTTTTTTTTACATTAAATTCAAAGGGACAGTGTATGAAAAAAAATGTATTCACAAGCAAACATAGGCACGACCTATGTACGATCGCTTCCAGGTTTGTCTCCCTCACTTCCGGTGTGTAATATAATATATATAATACTTAAATTATAAATCACTGTGTGAATGTTATTAAAGTTTTGCCGCTAGTATACTTCTTCATATAAAACGCTCTATGTGGAAGTAAAGACGCTGGCTGAGATTACCGGAAATACATCAGCAGCATTTGTGCTGTCTATTCATTCTGCTCTTATTTCTGGATTGTTTTGAAAATAAGGAAAGCTGGAAAGAAGATCAAAACCAACAATAATGTCAAAGATCTAAAAAGGTCAGCATTTTTCTTCTGTACAGTCTGGTCACATGATCACAGTACGTTTACACAAGGGCTTTTGAGATCACACCAGGAATGTTAAACGATAATACTGCAGACTAATTAAAGAATAACATCATTTTCCTCTTCTGTCCTCCCTCCGACTTTTCTTTCCCTCCCTTTGCATTCCTTTCCTTGACAGATTGAGTCGGGCCTGTCTCCTTATCTCTCCATCACGCTATCCCTCCATCACAACATGTCTGTGTCACTTGGTGCTCTCACTCGAAATCAATCCATCACTCTCTCTCTCTCTCTTTCTCTCTTCTGAATCCCTCCATCAGAGAAAGTTGCTGACACTTCCTGCAAACAGGTCTCACCTCCCTCAATCTCTTTCTTTCATCACCTCTCTGTCTCTTTCTATACCACCATCTTCACATGAAAATCTGCTAACAAGTAGAGATCTGAGAGAACACACTCTCTGATCTTCACCTACACACCTACAAATATTTGCAGACACACCGGTTGAAAGAACAAGCACAGAATGGCTGTGTTATAATGTTCTGTTGAGGTTGAATCTGCTGTCTTATCATTTGGAGGTCATGGGACCCCAATGATGTGAGTCTAATAGCAGTTTCCCTTCAGTTCTTCTATTCTTCTGATAATATATATATTTTTTAATAATAATAAATAATGGTAACACTTTGCAATAAGGTTTCTTTTGTTAACATCAACTTTATTAGAGTGAATGTGAACTATCAATGAAATATAGTTCTGAAGAATTTATAGTAACACTTTAATTTAAGGTGATAGTTACACGTTACTATGTACTTACTATAGTAATAACAGTTAATTATGCATAAACCAAACCCTAACCATAACTCTATGGTAAGTACATTAGGCCTACAATGTAACTGCGTCACCTTAAAATAAAGTGTAACTGAATTTATTAATTTGACCAAATTCTAACATTTACTAATACAATATCAAAGTCAAAAGTTGTATCTGGTAATATTATTGGTCCTCAGCTAAACTGAACTTATAATAAAAAGTTGTATTTTTATTATCCTTAACAAAGATGTAACAAATGTATTGTTCAATGTTAGTTAATAATGCATTAACTAACGTTAACAAATATTTTTTATTAGACTATTATTACTTTTTAAATAAAATCAAAACAAAAGTGCTCATTGAGGGAATTTCGGGACTGCCCCTTTCTCCATAAACTATTAAACAATTATTTTTATTTATTTTTTACTAAAAAATATTATAAAAATAATTAATAATAGTTTACTGAAGAAACACTAAATATTTTAAGGTAGCCTAGTTCATAATATTTTTTTATTATTTCTAATACCACGTTTTTAAAAATGTTGTTATTAGATGCATATCTTACATTATGTCTTACATATTTGGATGCATGTAATACATCGCATTATTTTAAGATATAGCCTAACTTACAGTAAACCAATAAATTGATATTAATATATATATAATATATAAGCAATTATATATAGCTATACAGGCTATATATTTTTTTTTCTTTTTTTTTTCTTTGTCCATTCATTCTTGGTTCAAAGCTAAGCCCATTTTTTTAATTCTCATTGACTTTACTTCACACAGTCACTGCTACACTTTACACTACAGTCACGTTCGTCCGCGGACCTCATCTATATAGCCACTGAAATTCGCGCACACTCCGTGTTTTCTTCCCAGTGAAATATCCCGTCAGCGGTGATGCGTCCCACGGTTTTCTACTGCACAGTCACGCGCACGCGAGCAAGACGGGAGGCACGAGACCCTGCACTAGCTACTGTAGCGCGAGATGCACGGCAGAGGTGTTACAAACATGATCCTGCAAGGCAAGCTATCATTAACACGCAATAAAAAAGGAAATATGACTACTGAGCCTATAAAATTGAGATTTCTCTTAAAAACACAACTGTGCTCATTCAAAATTGAAATAATTTTACACACACAGAAGGTCACCGGTGGGTGATACCGTTTAAAATCTATTCAAAAGCCTTGACACGAGACCATACAACAAAGCGCTATTTAACCTACAGTGTTACCATAGTAACAAAGTTAAAACACCTTCAGCAGCGCGCGAGCGTGTGACAGAGCAAGAGAGATGGATACATTGAATGGAATTTGAGTTATTTGGTCCCTTGTAAAGGTACTCGTGTCTTACCTCTGTGAACACTGATGGCCAAAGTTAAAATCCAGAGGCAAGTCATGCTGAAGCCCATCTGCGCCTCTGTCACTCAGAAAACACACCATCAATTCATCTTCTTCACACCGGACTCTGAAATCTCGCGAAGCGCTGCTGACAATGTCATTCGCGTGCAGACGGTCTGCGTTCATTCAACGCGCGTCTCTTTCCTCCTCAGCAGAAGCGAGTGAGATGTGTGGATGAGTCCACTGGAAAATCTCTTTCTTTCAGCAAATCTCAGTTTTTGATTGTTAAGGAGAGACGCAGCGCTCTAAGATCACCGGAGGACTCGCTCGGTACTGCTCTCTCTCTCTCTCTCTCTCTCTCTCTCTCTCTCTCTCTCTCTCTCTCTCTCTCTCTCTCTCTCTCTCTCTCTCTCTCTCTCTCTCTCATTGCGTTTGTCGTCCTACACGCTGCTCAATGTCACAGCTCGACAGATCATATCATACCATGCGGATATAAACTTTCATATTTTTATATTTATTACCTTTTAAGATCTGCCAGCTGTTCTATCTGACGACCAAGGTTATTCAGTAAGGAGCAATTTGACTCAGGATGAGACTGAACAGCCCCTGTCTTCCTAAATATACAGCGTGGGGATAGACCGGGGCTAGTTGTCACATGGGGCAACTTGTCACTATGGCTATGTCGTCCAATTGCAAAAGTATTTGATTTCTCAAGCATAAATAAAAAAAAGACATGGTTCACAGCTTTCATTAATTCAGATTTTTGTGTGAATTTTCTTCTCGGAATTAAAATGATTAATTCCATGCTAGCAATTGGGTTAACAAAGGAAAAATAATACCATATTATGGAAGTACATTTTACTAATATAGGCGAACTGTGCTCTCAACACATCAAATCATTTTTTCACAGTGGTTTCACTTAAATGGCAATGAAGATTACCTATTAATTGTCATTTAAGTGAAATTACTCAACTTAAATATACAAGCTTGATAAAAATGGTCATTTTAGAAGAAAATTGCATTTAGAGGTTTTTGCATCTGAACTCTTCATATATATATATATATATATATATATATATATATATATATATATATAATAGATCTAATATTTCAGCCATCAAACAACAACATAGGCTTACCCCATGGTGTGACAACAATAGTAACAATGAAAATATTTTTTAGAGCTTTTTTAGACTTTTAAATATAGGTTACCAATTATATACTGATACAAAAATTTACTTAAAAAAAGTTAAATTTGTCCTTTGAAATAGTTCACTTAATAATAAAAATTTTGTCATCATTTACATTGTTTCAAACCTGTATACATTTATTTTTTTCTATTGAACACAAAAGAATAAAGTTGATTGGACCCCATTGACTTCCATTGTAGGGAAAAAATACTATGGAAGTCAGTGGGGTCCATCAACTGTCTCAGTACCGATATTCGTCAAAATATCTTATTTTGTGTTCAACAGAAGAAAGAAATTCATACAGGGTTGAAACAATTTGAGGGTGAGTAAATGATGACAGAATTTTCATTTTTAAGTCAACTATTCCTTTAAGGGTGCTGCACCAATGACAAGCTGCTGTACCTATAAAGGTACAAATGTTGCATGTTTTTTGATATAGAAACCCTAACAGTTGCACATATCCACGTTTAAATAATATGAACTAATAACAATAGCATTATTTTTTAATCATTCTTGAGTGATAAAATATATTTAAATAATAATAATAATAGGCACTGAAATAGGTTAACCCAAATGTATTTATTTTGAAGTTAACAAGGGATCTCTTTTGTAACAAAAAGCAAATACTGTCTAAACAGACATCAAACAAACGGAACCCACAATGATGATGACCTCAGAGTTTAGTCCCGTTCAGATGACATCATCGGCCATAATACAAATCAACATACATGACAGAATAGCTCCACATGATATGATAATTATTCAAAAGGAAGACTTATCATTAAAAACCAAAAAGAATCTAACAGAATACTGTAATAATACTTTTAGTGTTTCCTGCATTTTTTGGTGGTCCAGTGTGAAAATCTCCCACGCACATAAACACAGACACATATCTGTGCTCACTTGAGTGTGTAGACTGTTCAAGGCAACACTAATCACATGAAATCATAAAAACATGGCAGATTATCAAACAAAACAAAAGTCATGAAACTATCTACACCTTCCAGTCTAAGACATTTAGTTGTCATAAAAAATGATAAAAAATGGAACATAAAATTACAAACAACAATATGCACATCTACAGCAGAATAAAAGTAAACAACATAATTTAAAAATTAAGCACTGAGCTGATTGATCACTAACTGGAAGTTCTACTGCTTGTACAGGACAGAGAGAGAGAGAGAGAGCGAGCGAGAGAGAGCGAGATAAAGACGTGTGGGGGAACGAAATACATTGTCGCCATCTTGCGGCGGTCGAGTGTAATTGCTCATCTCAGAAACTCACTTATGAGGTATGTGAGGGAGTATGAAGGTGTAGCATGGGTTTTGTTGGTAATTGGTCAGTTGCCACTTAGTTGTGACCTACATGTCCGTTAAACAAATGACTCTGTCATCCCACACAAACAAAAACATGCATAAACGTCAGAACTTTCATATACTGTATGTGGCAGATTAGAGTGATTTAATCTAAGTTTCCCTGTTCATTTGCGCCAATTTACATCATATCATTAAAACGTGCATTTTCCGTGAAGCTCCATTCAAATGATCTGAAAAGTACTATACAAATAAAGGTGAGTTGAAAATGAAACAAGCATGTTTTATTCTGAATTGTGATGGTTTTCCCCTTTCCAGTAAATTACCACACCCGCCTCTTGGTCCCATTTTCTCAAGTTTAAAGAGAAATTTGTGTTCTTAGCCTAAAGATTATTTTATTTTAGACCATTTGCCATGTTCAGGACAACAAATGTTGGGAAGAGTTCAGGGGAATGGAATTAAAAAATGCTCAACTCCCAAGTCACAGTTAAATAACTATTGAAAAGAAATAGGCCTCGCGGACACCGAAATTACAAATCCGTTACCAGATCAGAACCGTTTTGGGAAAAATTAGCTGGATACATAGTCATTCACAAATTTAAGCACAATACACTTAAAAGCACAGTGTGTAATTTCTGCGCCACTAAACTGAATCAGACTGCACGCCATTGGTTGAGCCAAAGTTATATGTCTCCGGTCGGGATGCTCAAACAAACAGAGCAATGTTTTGATAGCATCACAGTGAATCAACCTATGATTGGCTTACTTGCAGTCTATTCACATTAAGATTAGATAGAATTAAGGATTCGACATGCAGAATAATCACCTATAATTAGCCAGATTTTAATTAAACAATTAAACAGTTTTTATTTTTTATTATTAAATAGAAATGCCTCCGTTTATTGCATGATGTAACTGACTAAAACCCCAAACTCCCTCCAAAAGTCACTCATAGTTCGCGGTTGACTATGATGGAATAAGTCTATATGTAATCCAGATCTATGACAGTAAATGGAAGGGAAGACAAAGGCCAGAACAGACAACAACAACAACAACAAAAAGGGTTGTGGATAGGAAGAGAGTGGGATTGTGATGATTCAGAGAGAAAGAGATAGAGAAAGAGAGCAGTAGTTTGTTACCCTGCTTTTTCTGAAGAACAGATGAGATTGATTCCTGAAGGTGGCGTGAGTGAGCTAATCACTGGGCCTGAATCACACAATGACACATCAGTGCACAAATAATAACCTCATAATAATAATAATAATGATAATAATAATCTTCCCAGGTTGTTGAAATGACACTAGACTGTTGCAACAACAGTAAACACCAGAAATCAAACTTGAAGAGAACGTAATTCATACAAATATTACTGAAGTTTCATAACACCATGGGTTTTTTTTCTATAGTCCAGATATTTTTTATCAACTCTGCATTTCCACGCATGTAAGAAAACCAGGCAGGCTCAGAGAGTATATACTGCAATATCAGACAGTGAGGTGAGAGAGAGAGAGAGAGAGAGAGAGAGAGAGAGAGAGAGAGAGAGAGAGAGAGAGAGAGGGGATATATTTACAGCACACTGCGAGTAAAAATGATGCTATATAATCATATATATATGTATTTATAAATTGATATCAGGGGTCCCATACAATGATTGCATGGGCTGCTGTTTTTGCCTGGTTATTCTGCCTGTGTGTGTGTGTGTGTGAGTGTGTGTGTGATGTAGTGTGACATTGGGGTGATGAATATGATTGTGTGTGTCTGTCAGTGATATTGCAGTGTTTCTTGGTTTGTTAAAATTTTGTCTTTAGTTTATAACCTTTTTGTTTGATGTGTGTTTGCATGCGTGCCGGTTACCAGTCTGTGTCTTTCAATGGTTTTGGGAGCAGACTGTGTGTCCTGGAAGTTCATGCATGCACATGTCACTGTGCAACATATCTGGACCGTTTGAAAGGAATCATGGGAGACGAGGGAAGTGTGGTCACTGTCATATTGCCTTTGTGCATCTCTTTTTATCGTTTACGTCTCACTATGTGTGTTTGCTCATGTGTCATTATGGTAATGAAGATACTGAAGTGTGTGTGTGTATGTGTGTGTGTGTGGAAATGAGCACACGCGCCAGTGCATAACTCTCACTTTCCTGTCCTGTGTGTCGAAGCTTATTTGAGGTCCTTCAGTTCCAACAAGTCAACACCTTTTGTTTTGTTTTTTTTTTCTTCACATAATTCCTATCTCTTCTGCCATCGCCCATTTTTCCCATCAGGCTGAGTGAACTGAAGCGTGTGAAGGAAGAGGGTATGGATGGATCTCTAGATGAAGTACTCTTTCTTGTCATCCACCCCAGAGTGGCCCCCCTCAGCGTTAATGATGGCCGTGTCTGCATCAGGAGCATCGTCAGAACCTTTCGCCTCATGAGTCAGGTACGTTCCTGAGACACAGAGAGAGGGAGACAGCAATTGCAACTGCAACTGTTTTCTTTGTTTTTTGCCATTTGTATATCAACATTAATAGTATTTCTTCAATAATTAGTTTATTTCATTTTACTGTTTTTTTTTTCATTGTTTCATTATATAATATTATATGTAAAAAATGTTGACAGTTTTTTGTGTAAATTGATAGTTGAATATGAACATACACTACTATTGAAAGGTTTGTGGCTCAGTAATAAATAAATAAAATACATGTATTCAGCGAGAAACATGCATTAAGTTGCTCAAAAATCAAGTGTAGCATCAGTTCTGGCAGGTCAAAAACAAATGAACCCTTTTCTTTTCTTCATAACTTCCAAAGGATAGCTGATGCATGACTGCACGATCTCACTAATCCAGCAATACATGAACATCCGACAGTTTCTATCACCCCGACTGCTGCAGAATAACCCAAGCAATATAGCCCTTTGACTCCTGTCTACCTCTGCTTTCAAAGATGCATAGTCTATATATTTCTCAGGCCTGTGAAGCAAGTAGGCTACATTATACGCCGAGTTTCGGTTCACTGATGAGACCAGAGTCAAGGTTGCGCGCCGGTGTTGTGCCGAATTTCGACTCCCTGCCAAATGATTACCCCCCCCTAAGTGAAGTCAGTACCTGATTTCCTAATCCCAACTCCACCCCTAATCCTAACCCCTCCCCCACAACTAATCCTAAACCTACCAATAATAGTAATAATTTGGCGGGGGTCAGAATTCAGCACAACACCGGCGCCTGAGTCATGATGATCTATTTTCTACTATTTTTACTTCTTATTTATTAAACCTAGGACATTGGTTGATGAAACATTAATTGAAATTAAGATAAAAAAACGAAATTCACTTTAAAGAAAGGCTTTGTGGTTTCGCTTTAAGATCCCTGCGAAAGTTTTAAAGTCGCTTTCAGAGCGGTCATGTCCGTAATGGGGAACTCCATAACATTGTTTTTTTTTTTTCTCATAAATGCGGAAGAATATTTTATGTTCTGTGGAGGCCGACCCTGCTCAGTGTAATTCATAGAATTACTAAAAAATATTTTGCCACCTAAAAGTTAAAGATTTGTTGTGTTAAGCCCGGAACACACCGGTCCGACGCCGACGAACAAGCGCTGAGGAAAGCCGACTGTGTTGTCGCCTTGCGTTGCGCCTGCGTGTAATTAGCCAACTGTCTATTTCTGCAGATATATTAGTCTATATTCGCCATTCAAAAAGGAAAACCGACACTGCTGGCTGCAGATAGACACTGTAAACAAAGCAGCGCGTGTTTACCGTTTTGAATATTAATCCAGCTGAACGCTTTCTTTATTTCACTCCGCTCATGTTGATATTGAAATATTCGCCAAGGAACACTCAGGGTAAGAAGACGTAACATAAGAACAGCCTTCTATCTTTACCGTTTTGACTTCTTTGCTCGCTGTTTTGCTTTTATTCTCGTGCACTGACTCTTTCACTAAGCTGAACAGCCAATCAGATTTCTCTCTTTCCCAGACGGCCTGACGCCGAATCAACACGTCGAATCGAGCGAAACAAAGCCGACGAGGACTATTTTTAGCCGACGGCACTGAACTGTGCGTATCACACCGAGGAAACTTAGTTTGCCGATGCACAAAAACTGCCCGACGGCCGACCGTCAGCTTGGTGTGTTCCGGGCTTTATGTGTATTTCGCTCATATTAAATATAAAACACATGTGTAGACGGATATTTTGTAATGTCTGGAATACAGTGTTAGCATTCTATGAAAACAAATCCTTCAACTGGAAGTAGAAAACCGTTTTGACGACAGTGGTCCCGACAGAAATGACAGTAAAGCATGTTCTCATCTGCATATATGTTCCCAAAATGTACCCATGTAGGCGGTCAATATTTTGAGATTAAAGTCGAAATATTTTGATATTAAAGTCAAAACATTTCGAGAGTTTGAGAATACAGTCTTCCGTAGAAGTTGTGTGTGTGCTTGCCATTGTTTCACATTGCCGCAAAGACAGGCCTTCATAATGGTACATAGCGAGTGTTTCACACTGTGAAGTAAATTCAACAAGTGCCAATCTACCCGCATTAGGCTACCATTATAGGATGTTATAAAATATACTGCGCCGGAATAGACTTTAGCCTATAGGAAAACCAACCCGGAAAACACTTTTCAGACTGGATGGAGCTTTAAGAATGAATAAATTATTGAATGGTGCATTTATATAGCGCTTTCATATGTCTATAGGCCTACACTCAAAGCGCTTTACAATCATATCAGAGAAACTCTCCTCCACCCTTAGTGGTTATTAAATCTGAGGAAATCACGGGATCTGGCCAAATGATTGATACAGAATGATGCACTTAAAATGTTTCCAGAACATATTTACGATAAAAAGGGAGACAGAACGTTTACTGTTGTGTTCTCGCCGATATAGAGTTGTCTAGACGAGCACGAAAAAAACGCAAAAACAATGCCACATAAAGCTTGCCTTGGACCAGATTGTGATGCCTACTCCTGCGGAGTCTGTGCGCTCGTCTATACAACGCCATGGTAATTCTTGTTGGTAGATTAGCAACTGTATAGAATTTAGTTGAAAGCCCAGATAAAAGTAAAAAACTACTATTTTCTGTTGATCCATGGCAGTTCAAGTTCACAAGTGCATTTCTGTACACACACACACACACACACACGCTCTGAGTCAGTGGACACGCACTGTTATGAATGCACACTATGGAAGACTGTTTTATCATAATGTTTTGACTTTATTCTCGAAACGTTTCAACTTTAATCTCGAAACTTTTCTACTTTAATCTCAAAACGTTTTGACTTTAATCTCGAAATGTTTCCACTTTAATCTTGAATTATTTCGACTTTAATCTCGAAACTTTTCGACTTTAATCTCAAAACATTTCCACTTTAATCTTGAATTATTTCGAATTTAATCTTGAAACTTTTCGAATTAAATCTCAAAACGTTTCCACTTTAATCTCGAAACGTTTTGACTTTAATCTCGAAACGTTTCGACTTTAATCTCGAAAACATATCAACTTTAATCTCGAAATGCTCGATTTTTTAATTTTTTTTACGTTGCAGTTCAGGGCTTCCGTAGTTTTGTTCTCCCCTAATATTTAATATATTTAAAACACATAAAATATTTTCCTTATATTTGATGGTTTAATCGAACTTGTAGGGTCAACAAATATCCCCTCTGGACATCTTTCAGCCACTATTGTATATACTGTAAGTGATTTCTTAGTCTCATCTGTTTACATTCACTTAAGACACAACCAAATGTTCCTACATTAACACCTCACCCAAGTGTACATATGATCTTTCAATGCACGGCTGCATTTAATCCTTGTTCAGCATTTTTTCCTGGCTCTGAAACAAGGCTGTTTTCCCCAGATGTATAGTTTCTGACAGCTTTTCTAGATATACAGAGGGAAAGCATGCAGCACAGCTGTGCTGATCTGTTTACAGTGTCTCTCTGTGCACACACACTCACACAGTCTGTCAGCCTTTGTCAGTTGCTTCTTGCACTCTGCAAAATAGCTGTTTCTAAGAAGACAAGACAGAACAGAATTTTTCTTGCTATTTTGAAATAAAAGAAACCAACGTACTATGCAGACACCGAACTATCAGGACTCTTTCCCCAGCACCTTAAACACTAGACTATAAAAATAGTGAATCTATCAGTTTTAAATGCCAGAGCTACCAGAGTTAAGCCTTGTTCACACTACCAGCAACACGCAGCGACAAAGCCACACAATCCCATTCATTTCAAAGCAGAGCTGGCAATTTCCAGACACAGGATGTAGGCATGCCTGGCGCCATAAAAGAGTTGAGATATGTTTCGAGAGCGACAATCAATTGGAGTGAAGTACGTGATCTGCTGCTATATTTTTAAAATTAAATTAATGCATTCAACTTTGTTGTTACAATGAAAACCAACAACTCTCTTGTTTTTTTTTGTTTTTTTTTGTAGACTGGGAACAAGAATAAACATAAAAGGTGACATTTTGTCAACAATGTAATATTTTAACATGCAATACTTGTATACTGCTGTATTCAATTCCTGTGTTCAATTTTCAATGCAGAAGTACCTACAGTAATGTGTTACTTTTAAAAGTAACATTCTTCAACACTTTATCAGCACATTAAAATACTTACACATACACAGACCTAAAGGTCATTAAAATAAAGGTCAAATACAATTTGACCAGAGAGAGGAAAACGATTAAGTAATTGCGTCAAGAAACCTCAAACCTTGACTATAATAAATAATACTTTATATGAACATTATGTAACTTTTATTATTCAAAATTTTAATAAGTTAATACATCATCGATCTTTCTTGCAAAATGTGTTTTTTTTCTTACGCTGATTCATTATGGTAAGTCTATTCTAATTGTTTCTATTTTAGATCTTTGACGAATTAGCGACATACGTCACTTGATATGGCAAGCCCTTTTAACTTTCATTCATTTCCAGGATATGAATTCTTGATACCAACAATTCAATTGTTGATATCAACAATTAAATTTTTTGATATCAAGAATTGAATTGTTGATATCAAGAATTTAATTCGGTAACGCTTCCTTTTACAGTACTTACAGTGTACTTACCTAGAAAGTACTGGCTAAGATAAGGTAAGTACATGGAACAGGGGTAGGTTTAGGGGTAGGTTCAGGGTTAGTACTAGTTATTACCCAGTAATTGTAGTTACTAAAATAAGTACATAGTATTTACATGGGTAAATGGACTGTAAAAGGAAGCGTTACCTTTAATTTTTGATATAAAAAAATGTAATTGTTGGTATCAACAATTTAATTGCTGATATCTTGTATTTTCACTAGTGAAATGTCACCATAGGCTGCCATTCAAAATCAATTGTTGATATCAAGAATTGTTTTTTAGTAGTAGAAATATCATTTTTTATATCAATAATTACATAATTGCTAGTAAAAATGTGAATTCCTGATTTCAAGAATTAAATTGTTACTAGTTGAAATGTCTATTCTTGATATCAACAATTCAATTGCTACTAGTTGAAATGTCTATTCTTGATATCAACAATTCAATTGCTACTAGTAACAATGTTAATTTTTGATTTCAAAAATATTTTTTTTACTAGTGACAATGTTAATTTCTGATATCATGAATGTGATTGTTACTAGTAAATAAGCTAGTTTAGATATCTGAAATAATATTGATATCAGAAATACATTTTCAGATATCAAAAATGAACAATGTTACTAGTAGCAATTCAATTGAATTGAATTGTTTACTAGTTGCAATTGAATCAAGAATAGACATTTCAACTAGTGACAATTTAATTATTGATATCAGGAATTCAAAATTTTACTCAATGTAATTATTGATATCAAAAATGATATTACTACTAGTAAATCTCAATTCTTGATATCAACAATAGATTTTGAATGGCAGCCTATGGTGACATTTCACTAGTGAAAATACAATTACAGATATCAGCAATTCAATTCTTGATATCAACAATTCAATTGATATTTGTTGATATCAAGAATGTATTTCTTGTAAGTGAATAAAAGTTAAAACGGCTTGCCATACACTCGCCCGTGTGTGTGTGTCTCGCTCTCAGAGAAAAGTTGTCCCGGCTACTTTGACGTGTGTATGGTGTGGGAGTGGCAGAGGTTAATTGTCACAATGAGTGAGAAAGGTTGACATGGAGAGCACAAAATCGCAAACCTCCGGGGAATCACCTGTTTTTTAAAAAACACTGAAAAGAGGAGCGTCTGCTGGCAAAAAGAGAACTAAATTGCCATTTGTAGCTCTCTGATAGAGTTCTTTGTAAAGCATTATCTGTTGTGAGGGAAGGGTCTTTTTTAATCCAGTCACACAGACCCGAAGCACAACCAAATCAATGATCTCCCACAAAATGCATGCAGTTTTATTTTTATTTTCTAAGCTTTTATTTTTTAGTTTTTAGAGGACTAAAAGATACATAGTGTACCATTAAGAAAAAAAAATACAAAACAGTAGTGTCATGATCTCTTGAATATAAAAAATATATTTGAATTGCGGCTAAATATTGATATTGAATATACATTGAACAATGCATTTATAATAGCAAGCACATGCAACCAAGTATGTGCCCATACTTTGTTAGCTTATTCTAAAACCATACACTCAGAAGCTGTTAAATTAATTTTCATTTTTTTTCTAGGTGCGCCATTGCAGTGAGACATTTGGTTCATTTACAAGTATAATATCTTAGTTACAGTAACAATGAGATCTTGGGTCAAGTGTCTAGATGCTTAAATTCAAGACAAAATCTATAAAAAAAAGCTGCTGATGGGGCAGGACGCTGCAAAGCCCTCCGTCAGGGATTTGACCACAGTTCCTGAAGGTTATAATCCCTTCAGACGCTCTAGGTGTTTGTGTGCGCGTGAAATTTCTTTGTGTCTGATTAGATCTGTGCATGTGTGTGAAAGAGAGCGAGGGATTTCTTTGTCTGATTAGGTAGGTGTGTGAGTGTGCAGTACCTTTGTGTCTGATGAGGTATCTGCCGAGGACGATGAGGAGACAAAGCATGATGAAGACAATGACAGCAACCACTCCACCAATCACAGCGTGGTCTACTCCTGAAGAGGTGGACATCGCTGTGGGGTCTGAGATACGAACAGAGACAAGTAGTTAGTCAAACCCGTGCAGAGAGGACAATCAGAATGACATCAGATGTCTTAATAGTAATACAGACCAGGCGAAATCAGAGAAGAGTTTGTGAGAGACTCAACAGACTGAGAACACACTTACTGTACACACTTACATTTGATTCAGTCACAATGCGATTACAAAACGGTCCCCTAAGCAATGGCATAAAGCTGCACATATTTTGAAATATAACAAAAAGCCAAATGATTCTCTTCATCGTTTTTTGAAGTACAGAGGCTGTACAATGGATGAAAATATGCAATATGAATTCGAAAGGTTATGTTCTTAGAATACTTTAATTTAAATGCAACAAAAAGACTCGAATTACTGGTGGAAATTTGTGCTAAAACTATTCATGTTGATGCAAATTTTCATCTGGTTTTGAGAAAAGTTTGCATATTTGAAAGTGAAGCCAGATTATTCACGACAACCCCACTGTCAAAAATACAACCCCTCAGATAATACAGCACATCATTTTTGAAATGATATTACTATATATTTAAAACATTTTTTTTCAACTGCAGATTTTCTCTGAGAAAGAGTCAAAATGCGTCTGTGAATTTTTTTCTACCAGCTCTAATAACATTTATCTTAGAGAAACGATTTCAAGCAATTTTTCCTCTTTAGTAGAGCCCTTGACATTTTCAAGCAATCTGAACTTAAATATGGTCCGAAATGAAAAATACTGCATTACTATTTTAATATACTTTAAAACGTAAAACGTATTCCTGTGATGACAAAGCTGCTGATTTGCTGCTCAATTAATTATTATAACCAATGTTGAAACAGTTGTGCTGCTTCATATTTTAGTGGAAAGTGTGATCATTTTTTTCAGGATTCATTCAATTCATTAAAAAAAATTATTTGAAATGTATTTTTTTTTTTTTGTTACTTTTGATCAATTTAATGCCCTTGTTGAATAGCATTTCTTTTAAAAAAAATGACTGATCCCTAACTTTTAAATGATAATTTATGAAAAAATGTGCGATATAATCTGTAGAGTATAATGGGCTGTCAAGTTACAACAGTGTTATTTTCCATCTAACGTGAAGCCCCACGAGTCACTGACCTCTGTTTGAAAGGAAACACATGAATAATCAAAAGCAAGATTTCAGTAAAGAGTCTATCATAAGCTTCAGTGATTTTGCCTGGACTCAGAGAGCGTGAACGACATCCATCACTCGCACCCACGGCACGATCTCTGTCTCCTTCTCAAACAATACTCCATCAAAACAAGACAAGTTAACAGTCACCCTGACGCTTCCACGCTTTAGGTAAAGAAAAAAAGCAGGACGATAGATGAGAGCAGAGAGGATGGAGGACGAACTGAGTGAGTACTGAGTGACACAAAAAGAAGCCCTGAGAGCGAAAGAGAGAGAAAAAAAGAAACAGATAGAAACCAAAGAGGAAGAGAGAAAGAGAAAATAGGGGGGGAAACACAGAAAACACTGAAGAGATAATGTCTTTTATCGAGGTCATCCCTGGAGTTAAATAGTTGTGCTTAATATTATGAATTAGGGATGCACTGATTATATGAAAATACTATTAAGATATACATTATATACATTAAAATAATTAAAAATAACACATTAAAAACTAAAATCAATCATTTTCGATGCTACAAGTGAATTTAGGCATCACAATATTAAAATGTGCAGTATAAAAATGGATATTCATTTGGAAATTTGGTCAAGATTACATTTACCAGTGATATTAAATGATTAGCGTTTTTAAGTGAGTATTAGATGATTGCAGAGGTAATCTAAATGTAAATATACAGGACATAAAATCATTACACGGCGGCTTAAATTTGTGCATCCAAACACACTGACAAACATCGCAAGTTGCGTCTTTTTAAAACGTTTTTCAGGTCTTTATAGCTATTTAAAGGCATTTTCATATTAGAGCTTTTGGTGAGGAGGATCACCACCATCAGAGTTCAGTTAATTTCATTAGTGTTTTTCTGAACTCGAGTGTACGCCAAACAATCATACTTAAGGCTCTTTGAAATGGGGGTCCAGATACGGTTCACTGATCTGCTGTTGATGATGATTTGCTTCTTAGTTGTTATACTTATTTCTGTTTATCTGAGTAAAAAAAACTGACTTCAACGAGCATCTAGCATTCTTTGCATCTTTTGCGAAACTCGAATTCTAATTTAGACAGTAATGTTTATTAAAAATTGGGTAACACTTTATTTCGACGGTTCATTTTAGATGTTCTTCGAACTATAAGTAACTTTGCAACTGCATGTCAGCTAACTAGCTCATTAGACTATTAGTAGACATCTGCTTAATATCTGCAAATACTTTATTGTGATGATCCCCCAACAGACATTCTACTGACTGTAAGTAACTTTGTTCGCAACTACATGTCTTCTTATTACCCAAACACCTTATCTTAACCGAAGGGTCTACTACTGTCTACAAATACTCTAATGGGACATGGACCATCGAAATAAAGTGTAACCAAAAACAATATGTGGCGCCTCCTCATCCCAAGTCGTTATCTAGCTATAATGCTGTTGCTGTTAATGCTGTTAACCTCGTATGGCACTTTCCACTGCATGGTACATCTTTACAGCTTGACTTGCCTTTCCACTGCAGTTTAGTACCGCTTACACTCTAAAAAATGCTGGGTTGTTTTAACCCAATTTTGGGTAAAATATGGACAAACCCAGCCATTGTGTTACATTTTTAAATTACATGTTTAACACAATGGCTGGGTTTGTCCATATCTTACCCAAAATTGGGTTAAAACAACCCAGCATTTTTAGAGTGTAAAAGTGGGTGGGATTATAGACTGATCGTTATAGTTGCTCCGCCTCTACTGCCGTGACATCATCGTAACAAACAAACGCTCAACACAGGAACAACGGAGCGTATCGATGGAATTGATGTTCTTGATTCTCAGCATCGGCAAGTGGATATTTTTCACTACAAGACGAAGAAGTGTTCGTATTTGTATTTTCCCATTTTTGTAGGTTATTGGTACGGCTCGCTTTGAACCTCAACCGAGGTGGTACTAAATAAAGTACCAGGTACTAGGTACCGTACACATTGGAAAACCCCCAAAAGTGAGCCGTACCGAGCCGTACCAGGCAGTGGAAAAGCTACATTAGTCTGGGGTAAAAAAAGTCAATTTGGATCATATCCATCTTGTAAGTTAATCATGATGGGGGTCTTTTAAGTTGGCAAAATTAATATATAATGCTTCAAATGAAACCCCTTTTTTCATGGCAAACTCCAAATATAGCTTTTTGCTAACTCTAATGGCCAACATGTTGAAGATTAGCAGCAAGGCAATCAATTTATTATGTGATAAACAGTTTGATTCGACACAAAAATAGCTTATTCAGGGCATTAAGGCATCTCCTTTGATATCCATACAAATAGATCAGTCTCTGGCCCCCCGTTGGGTTCCCACGGTGTTGCACATTTTCAATAGAGATTGTAGTTCCCCCCTGGAGGAGGGTCTCTGCGTGATGCAATGATGTGGATGATGCAAATGTACTACGGTTTAAATTAGCTCAAAGTGGGGCGGAATTGAACTTGCAGCATGCAAATTGACATAAATCTGCATTCCTTATCAGTCAGGGTCTGAAAATGTCCAGATTGATGACATGGGAAGATGCATGCAGGTTCAACTGATTTACTGCTTATGCTTTAACTTCATTTGGCTTCTTCCACCCAGGTACATATGGCTGGAACTCCCTGTAGCAAAAACTGAATTGCATCAATAATAAATCTCATTCATTTTTCTAGGCGAGATTGTTTTCAAATTGGCTGAAAATGCAGTTTTCAGCATCAACCTAATTCAGTATTAAGCTTTCAATGAACCAACAAATTTGCACTGATATTAATAGTTTTCCATGTAATATCAAATGTTTTGCTTTCATGAACAACGTTCCTGCTCCATTAACTATGTTCATAATGACAGAGCAATTCAACAGAGAGTTGTAGCTAAAAAAACACCCAAATCCATCATAAATTGAGACAGGCTGATGAAAGAGAGATAGAGGAGAAAAAGAGGAACACAGAGATTCACTCAAAGATAAAATAAATAAATAAATAGACAGGACAATATTGAAAGAAAAAAAAGAGGGAAATGAAGAAAAAGACAGAAAGTTAGAGAGAGAGGTGACAATACCTGCAGCGTTTACTCCGGCTTCTTCTCAAGAGGGTGAAGGGATGAATGGATGGGTGGATGGATGAGTGGATGATGGATGGATGGATGGATGGATGGATGAGGACCACATGTGTGGAGGCACGAGATGTGATGCAAGAGAAGGAACAAAGAGAAACGATCAAGAAAAACTGTGTGAGCGTGCGTGCGTGTGCGTCTGTGTGAGCTCACTGAACACTATCAAAAAAATAAGTATCTCGGAAGAGTATTAAAGGGGATTTCACGTAGCGAAATAATAAAATAATTGTAGCGAATGTTTGCTAGAGGGAAGGTATGGTGTCAGATTGTGTTTCTGGATAATCAGAGGCTTTGCCGTGAGATGTGCCTGGTTAAATCTGCATTACAGTCAAAGCTGACAGCAGATGCTGCTCAACATGCTTCTGTGATACTGCACTGGAGATCTCAGTATACATCTCTTTCTTTTTCACACGCACAAACACAACCTGCTCGATTATAAAGTGACACATTCAAGCTGTTCCACCCATACACCCGGGCATTTTTGGTCATTTTGTCTACACACGTACGTGAAAGATGAATCAAGCGTGGACTGTGAATCAAGTGTTTGTGTCCGGGGGGTTGCTTCTTTTTTTTTTTTTTTTTATTGTTAATCCATAAACATGTACATGCATTAGAAGGAACAGTTCACCTATAATGGAAATTCTGTCATAATTTTCTCATCCTCAGGTTGTTCTAAACCTGTATGATTTTCTTCTGTGGAACAATAAAACGTACACAAATAATATTTTGAAGAATACATTTTAAAGGATATCCTATAAGCAAATGAGAACTGGGGCTGTCAAGCTTTGAAAAACACACACACAAAAAAAGCATTATAAAAGTGATCGATATGTCTTTCAAAAGTCATTCAAAAGTTGTATGTGTGGAACAGACCTACTAAATAGCTTCCATTAAATCCAGAGTCAGAACTTGAGAACCGAATAACTCTATATTATAAACCAATCTTTTAGAAAACTTTTGTAAACTAACTCAAATTAAATTTAAATAAAAAAAAAAAGTCAAAAGAATTTGAGTAGATTGACTAGATGAGTAAATCATCTAAATCAAAAGAATGATTCATTCACAAATTGAAAGTTATCTCTCATGAAAAAATGTTACATTGTATTTTTGATGATTAATCTATGACACACTTTTATGCTACTCTCATGATGTTTTTTTGTCATTAATGAAGCTTGACAGCCAGAGTTCTCATTAACATTAATTATATTCACTTATAAAAACATTTACCTTTTGTTCCATGCATGAAAGAAATATGTCATATGGGTTTGAATCAACATGAGCATGAGTAAATGAAAAAAATAAATACATTTTTGGTGGACTACAACTTTCAGTGGACACACTCAATCATTTTCCTTAACTTTCCTTAAGTGATAACCATTTTATATACAATGTTGGCAAAAAAAAAAAAAAAAAAGTGGGTCGAAAAATGTCTTACAGTTGTACTGCTTAATATTTTTGTGGAACGCCGAACGCGTGATCCATTAAATTCAGGATTGTTTTGGTGAATAGACAATGAAAAGGTAAAAGTCTTTTACCAATTTATTGTGGACTTGCTGATTAAAAGTATTCGTTTATTATTTACAGACCCCAAACTGAAAAATAAAGTATGCAAAAATTACGTTAAATATTATTATTAATATATGAATTAATATATAATTATATATATATACAGTATATATATATATATATATATATTAATAATAATTATTATTAATATATTAGGTATATTGGGTAAAATAAAAATAAATAAGCCCCTTTTAGCACACATGTGGATAGATTTTGACTGGTGTAAAATGTTTTGATCGATCATTGCTGTCTCTTCTCAGTTCACTCAGGTAATCATGCCTGTCCCAATCCGCTCCCTCCCACACACACACACACACACACACACACACAGATAGAGAAACTGGCAACTGTGATCAGTGGCACTGCAGAGGAATGTTAAAATGTGGTTAGGTTTGAGTGTGTGTACACTGGATTACCTGTAAAGGTGTGCACTCCATTCAGCCGAGAAACAGATGATGGAGTGGCAGGAGGGGAGGAGGAGGGGGAGGGAGGGGTACGAGTAGATGGAAGAGTGAGATCTGGGAAGAGAGCATTGGAAAGAGAGGTGGTGGGAACTTCAGGAGAGGGAGGGAGGGTGGGAGGAGCAGAAGGAGGGTGAGTGGAGGAGATTGGAAGAGTGGATGTTGGGACGGTAGTGGAAGACGACGAAGAGGAGGGAGGAGGAAGAGTTTCGCCTTCAGTACGGGGTGAAAGGGAAGTTTGAGGAGGAGATGTGGGAGAAACAGAGGATGAAAGGAGAGTAAAGGTGGGAATAAGGAAGTCTGAATCTCCCTGGTCTTGGAAGATGAAGGAAAATAAGAAAAAAAATGACAACAGAAAACAATGGATGGAGAAAGGGATGGTGGATGAGAGGGAAAATGGAAGAGGAAATAAAAGAGTGTGTCATACAAAAAGAGAAACAAAAGAAAGGAAAGTAAATTCAGAAAAAAAGAGACGTGAACGTAAATGTAAAACAGCAGAAAAAATAAATGATGACGAAAACCACTCTCCTTTCCATTCCTCCCTTCTCGTCGTTCGTCTCTCTCATTAATTACCTTGCACCAGGAGAGTGTGCGATACGTCCCCCATGCCGATCCCGTTATCAGCCTGGCACTCATAAATGCCATTATCCGTTTTGTTGAGTGATTCGAAGCGCAGGAACGCACCATCCACCTTCGCCAGCGGGGGGAGCTCTCCATCTTTCCTCCGCCACACAAATGCAGTCGGCCTGAGAGAGAGAGAGAGAGGGGGAGAGAGAGAGAGATTACATTACAAAACAGACCACATAAACAGTGTTTTGAAATTTCACATCAAAAGAAAAGCAGAAAGAGTCGTTTAATTGAGCAGATTGAAGGGTTTTGCAATTTGGCACACTATCAAACGAGCTGAGGAGCAAAGAGGGATGCTCTGGAAAGAGTCCCGAACACAGCGAAGCGCAGTCACATGTCAAGTGAAATGAACCAGTTAATCAGAGGGGAAAGAAAACCATGGGTGCTTCTGCATCCTCGTGTTTTAGCTCCACCCCTTTAGGCTGCAAGGGTTAGGGTTGTTTCCACTCCCAGAAACAGCTGCTATCGTTTAACTCAGTCAGGATTATAAGTGAATTTATGAGTGGGATTTGGGACAGGGCCAATGTTTGTTTTCAAATTTCCTGAATACTCTCCCTGTCTGTCTTGGTTAACCAAACAGATAGCCCCACCCCAAAGTCCAAAGTAGTTGAGCCAAGTACTGTACACAGTAAATTTGAAATCCGGAAATCAACACCAATAGAGTTAATTTCAACACTTTAAAAGTGTATATTTGGGAACCACCCACAAAGTGTTACTTCAACACTTTCAAAAGTGTTGCCTCTCTCAACACCGACACAGTGTTACAATTCGAACACTAAGAGAGTGGAATTTTAACACCAATGCAGATAACAACAACACTGCCAGTGTTTACTTTTTCAACCTTATAGTAGTCAAATTACACCATCCTGGTGTTAATAGAACACATTTTTACAAATAAAAACACCAAAGAAGTTACCAGTTTTTCTTATTAGGGTTATGCATTACCTACTGTACTTAAATGATTTGTCAGTTTATTTTCTTCAGTTCTTTAAATCTGAAAAGAATAATTTCACTTTGAAAAACACATAACTCTTTATTACTCTTTCAAAACTTTATTTCAAAACAATCCAGAAAGTATGGGATCATAGTAGAATTCAGTTCATTGTAAAGTTGAAAATAAAGGCAAATGTAAACAGTTGTTTCAAGCAAACTATTTTTTTTATTACCGAACAAACACGTTTACATCATAGGTTAACTTTTAAAATAAACGATGAATGCACTGTAATCAGAATTATATATTGTGATCAAATGGTGTCCTGAACATATCAGTGAATGTGAGTCCTGTGTCAGTGAAGTTGATTCAGTACCTTTGACTTTGCAACAGTACAGCAGTGCTTGAGTCAAAAACATTCAGCAGATGAAGAACAGTAGCAGGATATGAGTGGATCAGTTGTGTGTCTCCAGTCACTAACAGTAAAGTTCAGTGCATAGTTGTTTCACAGAGCAGCAAAAGCTGTGTAGATCCAACTTTCTCGAAAAATCCTGTAGGACTGGGTACCTAGACAACACAAAACCAGATCAATTACAATTAATACCATTTGTGTTTCATAAATACAGCAGGTTTATGGTGAAAAAAGTTCAATCATCGACTCAAACAAGAAACCATTTTGGTTAGATTAAGACTTGCATTTATTGATTTCCAAGTAAATTGAAGATTTAATTCATCCAAAAAATTTAATTCTGTCATTAATTATTCACCCTTGTTGTTCCAAACCAGTAAGAGTTTTGCTCATCTTGGGAACACTTAAAGGGATAGTTCACCCAAAAATGAAAATTCTAGCACTAATTACTCAACCCTCGTGTTGTTCCAACTCGGTAAGACTTTCCTTCATCTTCGGGAGACAAATGAATGATATTGTTGATTAAATCTGAGAGCTGGATCACTCCTGCAAAGCCTTTTAAGGGATTGAAACTTGGCAGCCAATAAAAGTTATTAAAGACATTGTTAAAATAGTCAGAGTGACTACAGTGGCTCAGGTTTATCAAGTGACGAGAATACTTTTTGTGCGCAAAAAACAAACTAAAAATATTACAATCAACTATTCATTTTCTTCTGTGTGGGCCTGAGCAAGTTAACAGTGTAACAGTGCAGCGCTACTGTGTTGTACGTCACACACACACGACCAGCGTCAGCCAATAGTGAGCCTGTGTGTGACGTACAACACCGAGGCGCTGCGCTGTTACACTACGAGAAGCCCATCTCGAGGCCCACAGAGAAGGAAATGCATAGTTGAATAAAGTCGTAATTTCTGTTTGTTTTTTTGCGCACACAAAGCATTCTCGTTTGGATTGGATTTAGGATTGCGCTTCTGTAATCAACAATATCTTTAATGACTTTCTGGGCCAGCAAGTTTTGATCCCTTAGAAGCCTATGGAGGAGTGATCCAGCTCACAGATTTAATCAAAAATATCTTAATTTGTGTTCCGAAGATGAATGAGTCTTGCGAGGTTGGAACAACATGAGGGTGAGTAATTACTGACAGAATTGACATTTTTGGGTGAACAGTCCCTTTAATAAAGATATTTTTAATGAAATCTAAGAGAATTCTGTCCATTCATCTAAAGCCTATTCAACGACCACTTCAAAAACCACGGAAAGGTATAAAGGAAATCAAAAGTAATCCATGTGACTCTAGTGGTTTAACCTCAACCTTTTTGACAATTTTAACTCAACTTTATTTACAAAATATTAATCTTCAATGCACATACATGCACATCAACAACAAGCACGAGTTGTAACTTTGTCATGAACGCATGTTGGAAATAAATATTTAATAAATTAAGCTGTAAATCTGTTTTTGCTGTAAACACAGCACTTGCATAGTTTAATAAACATTTATGTTAAACCACTGGAGTTGCATGGAGTACTTTAATGATGTACTTTTGTCTGGGGCTTGAAAGTGGTAGTTGTGTAGATTGTCAATGGAGGGACAGGAAGCTCTCCGATTTCATTAAAAATATGTTTGTTTGTGTTGTGAACATGAAAAAGTCTCACTTGTTTGGAAAGACATGAGGGTGAGTAATTAATAACAGAATTTCCATTTGTGGGTGAACTAACACTTTAAGAAAAAATAAAGACACGCACCTTAAGAAATCTCACTAAATTGTCAGCCGTCGGATTCCGGAAGGATCGGTGTTCCCGTCTTGTGGCTTTGTATGTTGGGGGCAGGTGATGGGCAGAGATTTTCCAATCAGTTGAGTCTAAAATTAAACAGCAAGAAAACATCTTGTCAAATCATGAAAACCATTGGTTCGAAATCTTATTTTAAGTATATATATATATATATATATATATATATATATATATACTAAATTTACTTTTGTAAATGAATTTGACTGGACAAATTCAAAATGAGTGTTATCAAACAAAGAAAATCTAGCTATACCAAATAACAACCAAGCTATGATTATTTTTTGTTTGTGCCCATGATTCTCTCATATGTTTACTTATCTGTTCTCTTTCCATCACCAGGTTCTAGTCTGTACAGTCTTTAAACACCAAGCCTGGTACCCTTAGTCACTTCATAGAAATCATAGTGCATCATAGAAATGCTCCTAGCAAACACAAATTGTAAAAATCAATACATTTAAACATTAAAGCATCTCCAAATATCAACCAAAAGTTAATCTGATAAATACATTTTGCATCAATATTTAATTTGAAATAATTGCAATTTGCTTACCCATTCTAAAAAGATTGGTCCTCCAAATAAGGAAATAAAGTGCAAATTCCACGTGCATTGTTGGTCCGCAGTTTGTGGAGTTGTTCTTCTGTTTTATACGTTAACGTTAGGTCTGCTGGCAGACGAGAGTAAAAGATAGTTTTAGGATAAATCCTTTATGATATTTGCACATCACACATATCGTCATAAACAATATAATATTATAAAACACGTATAGTAAATGAGTTAAACACTTACTTAATCGGTGTTTTTATTGTTAAAAGCAAACTCCGTGTCTGCACTTTGCACTGCTTTTTGAAATGCGTCACGAGCAGGTCACGAGTCAAAGAAGATGCAGGACCTAGACTGTGAGAGGTTTAGGCGCGCACATCACATAAATATCGTTACAAAACAATATAATGCCATGAAATTCATGTGGTAAATTATGTTAAAAACACTTACTTTAGGTGTTTCCCTGTTAACGTTAGCTACAAGCCTCCTCCTCGTCAGCTCCGTGTTTCAAAGATGATGTCGTCTTTGAAAAGAATTTCGACCGTTTAATCGCGCAGAACATTTAAATATCGCTTTGAATCAATGTGTTATAAAATATATTGGCTATGTGAATTAGAAAACACTTACTTTCGTTGTTTCCCTGTTAAAAAGCAAACCCATCCTGGTCTGCTCCGCATCGCGCGTCATAGAAAATACCCCTTCTGAGAGCGGTTTGCTCGTCCACAGCACATACATATTGTTATAAAACAATATGGTGTTATAAAATGAATATATAAATGCGATTTAACGCATAATAAATGCGTGTTTCCTCCTCGCATGTCTTGCGACTCGAGTCAAAGAAAATGGCGCCTGTGAAGAAAGTTTCAACTTGTTTCGTCCCGCCCAGCGCGTAAATGTCCCGGATGTGACTAGTAACACTCTCGGTGTTCTCAAAGCATCTCTGGTGTATAACTCCACATATTTTCACCAGCCAGAGAGTGTGGTTTACACTAGCAGTGTTAATCCCTTGAAATTCAACACCAGAAAATTAACACTTTACTCTAAAAGTCCTTAACACCAGGATTTCAACACTGGAGATTTTACTGTGTAGTTGCTGTGTTGTGCTTGTCTGGCTGGTACTCAAAAGAACCGAGAAATGTTTTGAATGCGCCACACAGCCACATTGTTCACACTTCCTGGGGAAGTCAACTTACTGCTGGGATAAAAGAAAGTATTTTAGCATCAAAAAATTACACGCTTCACCTCTAAAATCCCCTCATATGCCAAACCAACTGTGGCTTTTTTTTTCTGAGAGTCCAAATAAGCGTGACTGTGTGTGTTACAGGGATTTAGAGAATTAAGATGAGGACACGGGCACAACATTATTTGAGCGCATGAATAAACCAAATAATATCATTTTGATTGATGTTGATATGGTGCTGTAATGACTAAACGAATACATTAGTCTACTCTTTCTCTAGCTCTGTCATGAGATGTATTACTTGCAATAGAGTAAGACAACAAAACAAGCAAGGATATGTTATATTAGAGAAAGTGTTTCACAGAAACTGGATAATATATGATAGTGAGTGACATGCACTACTGTTTAAAAGTTTAGGGTCAGTTCTGCTCACCAAGGATTGATAAAAAAAAAATAAACAGTATTATTGTGAAATTTCATTTTAAAAGTTAACTGAAGTGAAGGCCAAGTATGGCAAGCTATGCTTGGAATGTCTTTACTGTCTCTTTTGAAAAATGTAATACATCCTTGCTGAATAAAAGCATTCATTTATTTTTAAAACTTCTTACTGACCCCAAATGTCTGTGTAGTGTGTACACAGTACATACTGTACGTCTGTGTGTGTTTTCCTGGTAAACCCAAGGCTTCTGTGATGGTTAGGTTCAGGGTATCGGATAAAATATACAAAACAGTTTGTACAGTATAAAAATAATTTTGTCAATAGAGAGTCCCCATAAAACACGGAAATCCAACATATGTGTGTGTGTGTGTTCAGCAAAAAGATCAAAAGATCATTACAGACCCTGTAAGTGCCACCTCTGACACTACAGTCTCTTCTTCAGATACAACCCCCTATTTGTGCTCCCATTCCAGTAAGGAAGAGATAGAGGGTAAAAGCAAATGGGAAAATGCGACAGAAAAACACTATGGGATGTCTAAATGTGGTTGAATAGCTCTCAGTGTGGTACTAATGGATGTCAGAAGCCATAATGATATGTAATGCGATCCTGTACCAGTAGAGGGTGATCTTCAATTACATTAACTTCAATTTCCAGGGAGAAATATTTATTTGATATAACCAGGTTTAAGTAGCTAAAAATGTAATAAATATATCTGAAATAATAATGTTTCATCCGTTAGCTCACAAAAGGGAGTAGTTGAACTGACTGAGATCTTCATCTTCATCTGCATTTAAAACTACCCTACACTCTTAGAAGAAATGGTTCTATTTAGAACCAGAAATGGTTCCATCCCCCGCTTCATATATGGAACTCCAAAATGGTTCTATATAGAACCATTGTTTTGGTAAAAGGTTCTATTGGCCAAGTACGGAACCCCAGGGTTCTATATAGAACCCAGAGGAACCATTTTTTAAAAGTGTATAGAACCTTTTAGGGGTTCCAAATACGTAGCGCTGATAGAACCAGAACCTTTTCTTCTAAGAGTGTACCGTATGTAAGGATCTCTCTGATCCCCTTTTCTGTCTTCTATCTTTATCCGATATAACATCAAGGAAAATATCTCTGTAATACTGTCAAACAGAACTCTGTGTGTTTGTGTGAGTGTTAGAGAGAAAGAAGATCAATAGGCTGACCATTTTTAGCTTCATACATAAAACATGAATGTCAAGGATGGAAATGAGAGAGTGCATTGTGTGTGTGTGTGTGTGTGTGTGTGTGTCTTACTCTGGATTTCCGTTCGCCACGCACTGCAGGTAAAACTTCTCTCCTTCTCTGGGCAGGTCACTCTCAGGCTGAATTGACACGCTGGGAGAAACTGAGAAAAAGCACAAACACATTTCTGAATAATGAGCCAGACAACAACACCAAAACAGCTGTTTCAGATTTTTTTTAGCAGATTTAATTTTTTTTTTAATTTATTGAAGAAATATAATAAAAAAGTGATCTATTATAACACGTTTCTGAGGCTCAAACAAGTAGATGATGCCAGCAATGCCAAGGTCATGTGGGTTTGATCACAGGGAATGCATGAACTGATCAAATGAATGCAATGTCAGTATACACTCGGGTTGTACATAAAGGGTTCTATCGGGTGCTTCAGATTTGGAACTCCTAAAAGGTAACATATAGAACCCTTTTAAAGGCTTCAATCAAAAGAAACATTAAGGGTTCTTTGTAGCCAGGAAAAGGATCTATATAGAAATAAGTAATGGTGAAAAACAGTTGTGATGTGTGAACGCACTTCGGTTTATTTTTATTACAAAGCCGGCCCGAAGTCTGGCATTCTGGCACTCTATTTTATTGTTATTTCATCTGACTCCATAAATGAAAAGGTTGTTAATGATATGTGCATCATTAAATATAAGCGAATGTTTGAATATTCCTTTAACTCAGTTAAAATAATCAAAATGTAAGAATTTATCAAGTCAGGTCAACTTATCATTCCAATTTCATAATCAGTTCAAAGATAATCAATACAAAACATCAAATGCTCTGAAATAAAGAGAAGAAATGCAAACCCGACAAATAAGAAATACATGAAGCTGAGAGACTCAGCCTCTCATCTGAAGTACAGAAAAGCGCCCAGAGCCTCTCCTGCTACATTTCATTATATAGACAGACCCCATTTATGTAAACATAAATTCACAGCCGAAATTCATCTTAATCACGATCCCAGACTTACTGGGGGCAGAAGTTGATTTACATCGAACCATTTGCTAACAGTGAGAATTTGCACTTTGTCAACATCCTCCTTTGTGTATGTTATCTCTAAACTCTTAAAAAAATGTATGCATCATATCATAAATTCTCCAATTAAAATCAAACAGTCTATGCTGAAAGCACCTGTCTGATATGTATATATCATCTGCGATATAAACTTTATTAGCAGAACTTCTGCTGACTGACATTTCTACAATCACACATTAGTATAGCGTCATACCATTCAGCTCTACACAACATCTACATTTTTAGAAGAAAAGGTTCTATATAGAAACTTAAAAGGTTCTATCAGCGCCACGTACAGTATTTGGAACCCCTAAAAGGTTCTATACACTCTTAAAAAAAGGGTTCCTCTGGGTTCTATATAGAACCCTGGGGTTCCATACTTGGCCAATAGAACCTTTTACCAAAAAAATGGTTCTATATAGAACCATTTTGGAATTCCATATATGGAACCATTTCTGGTTCTAAATAGAACCATTTCTTCTAAGAAGCCTTCTGGCTTTTGTATGTGTGTCTTACACAAGACGCTGAGGGGCTGTTCTGTCTTCTTGTCTCCATTGGCAATGGACGCGTGATCCACCTCACAGGCGACCAGAGCGTTGTTATCATTCCTTGTGACAGTGAAGATGAGCTCGCTGGTTACTGTGTAGGTTGGTTCTTCGGGGTTGGACTCCACAACATCAGGACGCCCTACACATACACAAACACAAATTAAACACTGTAATTACTGAACTACAACCGTTTGAGTTCAAAGTGGATTTTTGACCTGACTGTGTGTGTGTGTGTGTGTGTGTGTGTGTGTTTACCCGGTTTCTCCTCTTGATTAAGGTACCAGCGTAGTTTAGCAGGAGGTTTGCTGCCTGAACTCGTGCAGGTAAGAGTAACCGTGCTGCCCTCCTGAACAGCATCTTCAAAACCTGTTATCACCGGCTTGCCTGGAACACCTGTGAGAGATAAACAGAGATGTGAAGTAAATACATAACATTTCCAGGTGCAATTTGAAGAAACTAAAGGGCTAGATTCTGGCTAGATAAGGGGCTAAATTATGGTTAAAATGTAAATAAAATGAAAACTGGTCTGCACCCTAAGTAGCGGCTCACTATCAACAACATCTAGCTGCTTGTATCAGACCTTCATGGAATTTGCACCAAATTAATTCTGCTCAGATGAATTCAAATGTCCATCATTCAAAAAAAAAAGGTCAACCGTGCAACATTATTGCTACAAAACGTTAAGTTGTCTCATGGGAATAAACGCAAAAACAAACATACATCATGACCAGGGCAGACTGACTCATGAAAAAAATGACTCTTCTTTTCATGAATCTTTCATTATCAGTTTTAATAGTTCTGACAAATGTTGTACTATATGAACTCATTGAATCCGCAAGTTACAGCAGTTATCGAATTGACATCTGACACACTTACTGACCTCTAAATTACCCATGGATGGATGGGTGGAGTTGTCTGTGTTGGATTGAATTACAACAATTTTTTTTTTTAATTTTGTAATGGTGTCAGTTGCATCACCATTTCAATGGTTGTCCATTTGTGGCTAAGATCACTTTGAGAGCTCTTTTAATCATCTAATAGAAAAGCCATGCTTTCAGAAGGGACAAAAATACATTAATTGAAAAAGGCCATCGTCCATTAAACAAACCGATATTTTCCTCATGCTAAAGATACCCATGATAATAGTCTCAGACTTGTTGTGGGAATTTTACTCATTAGTGAAGATTACTAGCTAGTCTGAGCCATGTGTTTGCATTGAACCTATTCCATGAGTAAAATATAGTTGTCTACGTGGTTGTGGGTGACGTTTCGGGAACATATGGGGCAGGACTTCTGACCTTAGGGACGGTTTATTTCAGTAGCAGTTTGTGTCCTTAAGTAGAGACTAAACAGCAGTAACGGCCATCTGGGTGGGTGAAAGGTACAGCGGGTGAAGAGGAACCTTCAAAAGACTATACGAGCTGTCTCATGTCCACAGTGTAACTGCTGGGTTGACTGGGCCTATTCTTGCAAGAATAAAAACGTATCTTTCTTTATTAATTTGACTCTGAGTGGCTAACGCAGTGATGATGTTTGACAGGATTTTTGCCATAACAGACTTTTAGCGAAATACATGAAGAGCAATGGGGTATATGCTACATATATCAATAATTCTACTGATTCATACCACCTTGACAGAAAAAAACCCCCACATATACACACACACTCACACACACTTACCAAGTACAGTAACTGTGGCTCGTGCTGTCCGTACAGGCATGGTGAAAATGGAACAGGTGTACTCTCCATCATCTGACAGCTGAACTTCTGCGATGGTGATTATCAGCTCTGTAGCCGTGGACTTTACCAACTGGATACGGTTATCTCTCAGTGCTGAGAAAGACAGAGCAGATAAGCGAAACACATACACTACATAGGTGCCAAATACTAGAATTTTTAGCATTTTATTTCCTCCCTGAAAACCATTGTGATTTAGATTTATGTGATTGCTTTCGACCATTTCTCTATAACTCTTCCATGTTCTACTTTATCAGACTCAAACTTGTTAAATTTGTTTGTACTGTAGTTCGAAAAAAAAGCCCCATGCAATCTTATGTGTACATTTCTGATCCATACTACATTCATATGACTTTGAAATCCATTTATAATAAGATTTCTTTTAGTATGTCTAAGAGTGTCTTGAGATGTGTATGTAACATTATACTGAGTGCGCAATTTTGTCTGATCTGAATACGCCTCATTTTCGCCTACTCTTTACTCAACTAGCGAACCATGTGACGTTCCCTATGTAGTGAACAGTGAACGAGTCAGCAGTTTTGGATACAGTATGCATGAATGCATAAACGCCTATGTTCTCTTACAGATCTTGTGAGATCAGCACCACAGCGAGATGACAGGCATGAGTACAGGCAAAGTTTCCAGTTTTCTGTTCTCTCTTTCCACTGACAGCTACTCTCTGTTGTTGTTTGAGAAAGTCTCTAGGCATCATGCTGATGCTGGCATTACTACTATCACAAACCATGAAGATACTTTGGATATTGACAACAGAGATTTCACCATGCAAAATGACAGTGCAGACCGTCCTCAGATTATATCTGTGAGCAAGCAAGTCTAGGAAATAAACAAGTTGTACATTTAGGAATTCCATATGAAAAATGTTACAGTTGGCTAGCACTGTTCATCAGAGTAAGCCAAGTGGCGAAATACTGGATATTTATATTTATGTGTTCATGTTGCAATGTCATATTCATGATTTCGACATTGATTTACACTTGTCTTTCTCTTTTATGCAATGATTAATATATATATATATATATATATATATATATATATATATATATATATATTGAATTAGCATCAGTTTTTAATTTTAATAATAAAATATTATTTTATTTTGACTTATTTAGGGTTAGCTTTATTTAGCTTTATTTTTTTATTTAATATTATTTAGTAATCATATAATATACATTTTTTAATATTACATATAATATTTACTATTATTTAGTAAACTTATTTTATTTCAACGTTTCTAATTTTCATTTAAGTTTTTTTATGTTTAAGTTTTTCACCTAATATTTCAGCCCGTTCTCATCCCAAGGCGTGATACATGGCACCCTTTAGCGTCAATATGAGACGCAGATATATATGGGTCAGGCGCCTCCTAGTGGTCTATATATATATATATATATATAAGACGCCTCCTAGTGGTCTAACCCTAACCCTACCCCAGACCTAAACATACCCATACTCTGTGCGTGTTATATTGACGCTAAAGGGTGCCATGTACATTGGATGTCAACGCTTTGGCAAAAGCGTCGTATATGACGCCTTGGGATGAGAATGCGTTGAATATTTAATCTTTTTTTTCTGTTTCAGTTTTATTTAAATTATAAAAATAATTAAGTTTTAGCTGTGGTAACACTGTTCTCTTCTGGGATAATGGAGCAAAAATGCAGATGACTCATCCTGCACTTTAGTATTAGTATTTTTGCCCAATCAAGTGTTCTGTAGAATGAAAAAACAGGCTGGCAATGATCGAGAAAACATGTTTAAGAAGTTATTATTTTTGCTAATGGTGCAGAAATTACATACTTCACCTTTGAACAAAAGGAGAACTTGTGTCTACCGCAGATTTACAGTAAATGTGTGTGTGCGCTTCATGGTTTATCAGTAAGTGAAGGGCACTTAATTTGTCTTCATCAGCTGACGGTCCTCTGTCCTCCATCCTGCTCTTTCATGCACACACTCCTCCTTTGTCATTACTCCCTTTATCTCACTTCGCTCATCCACCCATCCATCGTTCCTCCACACTAATCTATTCATCTCTTCACACTTGTGCGCATGCGCGTCACCTGTTCTTCTTTTACTGGTGATCTCTCTCTCTCTTTTCTACACTGCAAAAAAATCTGTATTTTTGTCTTGTTTTCCAAATATCTAAACATCCTTCAATTAAGATTGTGTAAAATTGTGTAAGATAATGAGATTTGGCAAACACTTTAGTTTTAATTGTCACTAGGCACATTAGGATATAGTGAGAATTTGACCCTAAACAAAAGTGTAACAGAGATTAGTTTTGAGAGAATATCTTGATTCGAGTAGTTTTCAAACTAAATTTAATTGGATTTATACTTAATTCAATAGAAAAATAAACTTAATTGGAATTTGAAAACTCTTATGGAAACTCTTATTAGCAAAATTTTGCTAAAATGTATTTATTATCCTAATTTTGAATACTTTAGTTAAGGGTCCAATTCTAACAAATAACTTGTTGCTTATTAGCATGTATATTACTAGGATATTGGCTGTTTATTAGTATTTATAAAGCATATATTATTGCTTTATTCTGCAAGACCATATATCCCTACCCAATACAACTTAACAACTAACTTACTAACTATTAATATGCAGTAATTATGAGTTTACTGAGGCAAAAGTCGAAGTTAATAGTTAATTAATAGTGAGAATTGGACACTAATCTAAAGTGTGACCATAAATTTATATAGTTTTAAATATATATTTTTTTTTTGTGAAAACAAGATGAAATACAACAAAATGTATTTCTTTTCTCCCTTCTTTCAACGATCCCTCCTTCCTTCTCATTCAATAGACTGTTTTCTATTTCTGCTTTTTCATGGTGCTCTCTTGTCGCCTTCTTTTGTTTTCCACTTTAATCAGGTCATTCCTCTATTCTCTCTCAGTCTTTCTCTCTCCATCACCTCGCTTTTCATTATCACAGAGCCACCTGTTTGTTTTTAGGGTGATATTAATGTTTTAGGAAGGTGTCTCACGCATTCTTTTTGTGTTCGATGTTGGGGGACTAAGAGCTCTGTGGAAATCTCTACGGAAGGGTCCAACAAAAATCTATTTTCTGTTCAGACCAAAGTGGCGAGTAATTGCAGTCACAGACCACAGTCTTAAAAGCGATCGCGTAAAAGAGAGGTCATGAAATGTCTGCTTGTAAAAGTTGGTGTGAATTGCCATTTACAACCAGTTTTATCTGTAATTTGACACCTTTTGTGAAAAATAGGATATTACTTAATAAATAAATAAATATAAAATTACTCAACGATTAAAAATGTACAACAAGATTTCATTTCATTCATCAGGAATTGATTGAATTATGAGCCATACTGCAGCCAGACTGAATGAAAGTTTGCTTAAATAAAGTAATGTGAACTTTAGACGGGAAAATATTCAAGAAATAATTTCTTATGAGCCCCTTTTTCACATATATGCTTCTGAAGACTTGAAATATATAACCTAAATCATACAGAATAATTTTGCTATAATTTTTGTAGTACTTTTTTTTTTTTTTTTGGTAATTTGTGGCAACAGTACCCATTCACTTTAATTATATGTAAAACAGCAGCGACAGACATTGTGCAAAACATCTGCTTTTGTTCTCCACAGAAGAAAGAAAGTCATACAGATTTGGAAGAACATGAGCATCATCATTTTCCTTTTAAAATCGATGGCACTCACCTCTCTTCTCTCCAAAGTACAAGGTCTGCTGGGCCGTGTTAGACCACTGGAGGGAGGAGTTATCGTTTTCCTTCACACTGCATGTCAGGGTCACCACCCCGCCCACTGCCACCGTCTCATCTTGGGTCACTGGCTGGAAGGGGTCTTCATCTGGGCAACAAGACAGAGATAAATGAGAAGTTATTAGAGCCAAAAAAGAGAGAAAAACAAGATGGCATTATGAAATGAGATATAGTTAGAGACAGAGAGAGGACGAGACAGTGAGAAAATGAGAGTGAGACTTAGGTGAAAATTAGATGTTTTGTCCCCATCATCATGATCTTTGAGAGCAGTGCAGTGTATTTCTTGCTAAAAAAAGAGAAAGAAATGGAAAAGGAAAAGGAAATGGCATCGTTAAGTTGCCTGCACCTCACGCTGCGGGGGTTGCTAGAGAAGGAAACTGAAGACTACGATTAGCATGAAAAGAGATAGGAAGGAAATTGAACAGGTATGGTAATAATTAAAATGAAGACTGAGGTCTCCGAGATTCTGAAGAAAAACAATATATCTTAAAGGGGGCATATAATGCCATTTTCATACAAGTTAATTTGATTCTTTAGGGTCTAAATGAAAAGTTTGTAATAATTCAAAATTCTCATTAGTATTGTAAGAAAACACTCATTTAACCTGGTCAAAAACAGCTCTGTTTTCAGCACACCGTTTCAGTGCATATGCCTTTAAATGATAATGATAACATAGATATCAATTTGAACGAGAGTCGGACACGGAACAAGATAACGGCCGCAAAGTAGTTTGACAATTAAGGCTGGAACAGGATGTTTCTGAATGGTTGGTTAACATAATGTCACTTTGATCTATCTTTGTATGTACTGGTAGGGGTGGCACGGTACATGAAAAAACACCCGAACCGTTCGGTTCGCTTGTCTCGGTTCGGAGCGTGTGTGCGTCTCACGGTTCGACGCATGCGCAATGTAACCTCGTGCCCGTATGTGACGTGTGTTTTCTTTTCGCGCGACATAAGCTTGTTCGACTTGGACCGGTGCTGCACAGAGCGACCGGTGAATAACATCACACTAGAGCGGGAACGACGGCTCCGTCACTCACTTTCGCGGTATTTGATGTCATTACCGATCGCTCTGTGCAGCGCCGGTTCAAGTTAGTAAACAAGCCAGTAAAAGTGAGTATGGAGCGCTGCAGGTCACGGCACGCGGAGAAATGGCAAGTGGGAGAGATGAGGGAGTTGGAGGATGCGCCAGCGTCCTATAAGTCTATAAGTCCGGTGTGTGGGGACATTTTTGATTTCATGTTATGGTATTTTAATATAACGTTACAGTGGCACTTTATGTTTAGATAAGAGCTTCAGTCAAATGTTTCCAAATCCTGCACTTTAATTTACACTGAAAAAAAGGTACCCTCACTTTTTGGGAATAGAAGCATTGTTGATACTGTTTTTTGTGTTGAGGTTGAACTTTTCACTTTATGTTTATGGCCTTTGCTATTTCTATAGCCTAATTATAGGCAATGAGGTTTCATGTATATTGACTTATTCATAAAAGATAGTGTAGTTCCTCTTTTTTTCTTTTAAAAGATAGAATTTTTGTAAGAGCTACAAAAGTTGTCAGTTCATAAATGCAAGTTAATTTCTTTGTGTAAATAAGATTTGTGTGATAAAAATGCACAAGTTCTTGTAGACATAGTGATACACATTCTCCTTTTTTTTTGCCAAATAAACGAAAAGCATGTCAATTTCTTCTTTCTTGCTGTGTCAAAATCTCACCTAGCTTTCCTCTGAGATAGTCCCAAAATGTGCTTAAAGTCAAAGAGTCAAATTCAGTTTGTGCATGATTGCATGAATATAATTTTTTTATACTGTATCCTAAAGTGTGGATAATTAAGCTATATATCACATGATGAAGTACATTTCTGAAGTGTTAAAGATTAAAAGAAAAAAATAACAAGAACCGTACAGAACCGAAAACCGTGACACTAAAACCGTGATACAAACCGAACCGTCGGTTTCGTGAACCGTGCCACCCCTATGTGCTGGCAGGGTAAAATTAGAGTAACTATGTGTTTACTGATGTATGTATAACATTACTCAGTTTGTAATAACACAATAACCATAATGCGTTTTTCATTATAAATGTCAGATTATGAATTATATTGAGAACGTTGTACATAGAAAACTTGCCGTAATGTACCCTAACCATAGCCGAATTCATTGTGAAGCGTGCAAGTGATTTGCAAAGATTAACGTTAATATAAAGGTTAACAAAATTTTACACTCACTTCTTCTGGAGGTGCAACAGGGACATGAATAGTTGGAACCGATTATTTTCTCAGGAGCAGCTTCTTAGCAAAACCAGCTTTATTCTGATCCTCATTTATAAAGCAGTCTGATGAGAAAAGATTTGCGAACTGCGCAAATATGAAAGCATTGGCATTGCTCATGGGGAATTTTCCCTTCGAAAACAAAACTCAGTCACTGTGTCTTCAGCGGTTTGGATTTGGGAACATCAAAATGACTGCTGTGTTCGTCATTACATCCAAGAACAGAACACCACAATTGCTAGACGCTATTCTGCTCCAGCGTATCAACAATGGCGGACTATGATGACAGTTCACTCGGGGTGGGTCTGGGTGGAAACACTCCAATGCTTCAAACCTTACCTCTCAAGTAGATCCTTCAGGGTGGTGTGGAGAGGATAGGTGTTTAAGTTGCAACATCTAGCTACTGGGGTGCTTCAGGGCTCAGTGCTTGGACCACTTCTCTTCTACATGTACAAGTCATCACTAGGATCTGTCATTCAGAAACGTGTTCTTTCCTATCACTGTTATATGACACAACTCTACCTCTCATTCTATACATCTCAATCTGTCAATTCTTGCTGGATGAAGGGCAACCACCTTCAACTAAACCGTGCAAAGATAGAGCTATTTGTGGTCCCGGCCAACCCAAAACTCCATCACAACTTCTCCATTCAGCTAGCTTCTTCAACAATAACTCCACAGACCACATTGCTAGAGCTGCCCAGTTCTGGAGATTTGTCTTATACAACATTAGGCCTATCGGAGCATGCTACACAACTTCTTGTTCAAGCACTTGTTCTATCCAGACTGGACTCAGTGGACTATTGTAATGCTCTCTTGGCAGGCTTTCCAGTATACCGTCAAAACTCTGCAACTGATCCAGAGTGCTGCAGCAAGAGTGGTCTTTAACGAGCCGAAGAGAGCGCACGTCACACCTCTCCTCATAAAATTGCACTGATTGCCAATTGCCGCCCGCATCAAATTCAAGGCACTGGTGCTTGCCAACAGAACAACCACTGGCTGTGCTCCCTTTTACCTAAACTCATAACTTCAGACTTACGTGCCATGATCAAGAAGCTTGCATTCTGCAAGTGAACGGCGCCTTGTGGTTCCATCTCAAAGCGGCACGATATCACTTTCACAGACCTTCGCCTGGACTGTTCCCAGCTGGTGGAATGACCTGCCTAACTTAACCCGAGCTCCTGAGTCTTTTGCCATTTTCAAGAAACGGCTAAAGGTGCATCTTTTTCGGCAACACTTGATCCATTAACACTAAAACTTTCTTTTTGTGTCTCTTCTAATCTATATCTATTTTACCCAGGGGGCAAAACACCTGTTTTTTAGGAAATCAGACATGGGCTGCTGTAAAAGGTTGTCATATAAAAATGAAATCTATGATGTCTGAGGATCACAACCTGGGTGGACAACCCGGTGAACAAGCTGCTGGAAACTTGTAATTAGGGTCAAAACAATGCTACCTCAAATTCTGCTTTAACTCCCCGGAATCACCCAAACATGCTAAAACGGTTTGATTATATTCATGAATCCTGAGCCATATCTCCCTGATACTTTATGCTAGAAACAAACTGAGCATACCGTTCAAAAGAGTGGAAGATAAGCTTTCATCTGATGCATTGACTGTACATGTAATTAGAAAGTAAGAGTGAACAATGCCTCTTAATTCACAGGTAGGCAAAAAAAAGAAAAAAATATATAACATTCCATTTGTAATCGGTAACATTCTTTACCCTTTGTTGTTGTTAAAATAAAATAAAAATTACCATGTGAAGTTAACTTTTACTAGATGAAATCATATTTTGATCATTTTCACTAACCATACAGTCCCTATGGTCCATAACAAATTTAGAGGGAATTCAATTTCAAGCCTATAATAGCCTGTCAATTCAAACTAGTTCCAAGAAAGAAGTTAACCATTAACTGATGTTTATGTATTTACAGTATATAGTTTGCATATTTATGCAATATATATATTATTTGTATTGCAATGTCTAGTATTTGTAATATTCTTTCACAAGTGGGATAGCTTTATTCTATCAAAAAAAAAAGGATTTGAGGATTTTGGGTTAGGCTGGTTTACTGAGTGTGAGACAAAGGTACTGACAACTAAATGTTGAAATACTAAAACACAGGAATCATGTGTGGAGTAGTTTTAAAAGTATTTAATGATTAAAACTGTTACATTAAGCAGCAATTTGTAAAAAAAATAATAATAATAATTAATGAAACAGATTACAATTCAGGGTGATAACTAATTTCTGTAATAATGTTTATACAATTTGTTTTTGCTGTTTTCGGAGTCACTGCTGCTGTCGCTGCTCTCTAGTGTTTCAGGATGCTGAACAACTCAGCATGCAGCATGCAACCCCTGGCAATGGCATCCTATGTAGCATGGAATTGCCCTCTTTGCACAGGAGCAGTTCTTCTGACAACCTTTAACACAACCACATATATTACCATGGCCAATGACACAGGCCAGACAGGCTGTGTAGATGGAATTGGAACTTCAACTGCTTGGCCCTCATCCAGAAATCATCCAAAATTCCTGAAGGGGGGATTTCTGGCTTGGCAATATTTGCATTCTTGTCAATAATGGTTGCCAGAGCTGCCCGTTTAAGGTGGAAGAGAAATGCGTTTTCAGTCGGAGGAAGTAGCTTTAAGAGTGTTGATTTGTTGTTCAATAACTTGTATGCTCTCAGTGTCCCCAGATCAGAATCTTCAAAGTGATCAGCTGAGGATGTATACACATCTATGATGAGGCCTCGTGCCTGGTGAAGCAGGTAATCTGTTATGTTATCAGTTGTATTTTGACCAAACTCTTCAAGTGCAGGTATGTCCATTCTCATGCTGCTTTTGAACCAAGACTTCTTACCAGTGAAATAAGGATAACTAGTTGTATCTCTTCCACTAAGACTGTGGGCAAATGGCATAGCACAGCATAGTGAAGGTCCCAGTGCTGCTACCATTTCATGAATGGGCAGATAGGCATTCTCTGTTGTTTTCACCCACAGCTCTGGGAGAGTACTGATGTATGTTGAACCATAGTACAGGCACATGGCAATGATTTCTGTGTCATTGGCATGGATGACAACTCTGCCAACTCCTTCATTCTGGACACTGTAGAGGGTGTGGAGTATTATCCTTGTGTCTGCCTCCTTCTGTGTGGACTCAAGAGCAGGAACATCCCTGACAGAACCATCTGCAAGCACAACGGTCTTTGTCTCTTCTTTAAATCCACCACCCAGGTAGATACGAGTCAGGCCATTAGGAGGCTTGAGTTGTTCATGCTCACACCACCTCTCACAGAGGAATTGAAGGAGATTTGCTTTATTGGCTGATACAGAAAAAAACTCCTGTGGATCTGGAGCTGTGAACTGCTCACTAACTTCATATACTTTGGCAGATTTTTGTGTGTACCTCCGGCTTTGCTCAGCAGACTTAAGGCTTGGTCCACTGTATCTGTCACAACAGAAGTGTATAATCTCAGTGCCAACAGGTACATCATTCATCAGCATTTTTTTTATATCTATCAGCAATGTGTCCAAATGTTTCACCTTTGTGAAAAGACCAGTGGCGTACGGCACACATAGCGTCGATGACAACTGATGTTTTTTTCCTTCACATGTGTTAAAGTTAACAGATCATTGCCAGTGGTGGAGAACTTAACATTATTGACTGGACTGGTACCAAGGCGAGCTTAGTGAAGATCCTTTGAGGCAGATCAGGAATGATGGTCACTCTGGTCTCCTCTTTCAGGATCTTCACTAAGCTCACCTTGGTACCAGTCCTCATACTGCCATCTTCCTGGAAGAGGGATGGGGGGGGAGTCACTGCACTCATGTTTGCCAATAAAGTCAATAATGTTGAGTTCTCCACCACTGGCAGTGATCTGTTAACTTAAAAATTAAAAAAAAAAAAAAAAATTAAAATCTGCCAAAGTATATGAAGTTAGTGAGCAGTTCACAGCTCCAGATCCACAGGAGTTTTTTTCTGTATCAGCCAATAAAGCAAATCTCCTTCAATTCCTCTGTGAGAGGTGGTGTGAGCATGAACAACTCAAGCCTCCTAATGGCCTGACTCGTATCTACCTGGGTGGTGGATTTAAAGAAGAGACAAAGACCGTTGTGCTTGCAGATGTTTCTGTCAGGGATGTTCCTGCTCTTGAGTCCACACAGAAGGAGGCAGACACAAGGATAATACTCCACACCCTCTACAGTGTCCAGAATGAAGGAGTTGGCAGAGTTGTCATCCATGCCAATGACACAGAAATCATTGCCATGTGCCTGTACTATGGTTCAACATACATCAGTACTCTCCCAGAGCTGTGGGTGAAAACAACAGAGAATGCCTATCTGCCCATTCATGAAACGGTAGCAGCACTGGGACCTTCACTATGCTGTGCTATGCCATTTGCCCACAGTCTTAGTGGAAGAGATACAACTAGTTATCCTTATTTCACTGGTAAGAAGTCTTGGTTCAAAAGCAGCATGAGAATGGACATACCTGCACTTGAAGAGTTTGGTCAAAATACAACTGATAACATAACAGATTACCTGCTTCACCAGGCACGAGGCCTCATCATAGATGTGTATACATCCTCAGCTGATCACTTTGAAGATTCTGATCTGGGGACACTGAGAGCATACAAGTTATTGAACAACAAATCAACACTCTTAAAGCTACTTCCTCCGACTGAAAACGCATTTCTCTTCCACCTTAAACGGGCAGCTCTGGCAAGCATCATTGACAAGAATGCAGATATTGCCAAGCCAGAAATTCCCCCCTTCAGGAATTTTGGATGATTTCTGGATGAGGGCCAAGCAGTTGAAGGCAATTCACCTTTGGCTAAGCCACGCCCCTAGAATGTAGATTGACCAATCACAGCCCAGCCAAGAACCAGCTCCCACAGAGGTCCGACACTTTTTGACAGCGCTCCATTGACTTTCAACACAGGCGTCTCATATTTTTGGTCTCGGCAGGCTATTACCGTCGTAGTTTTATCCAAAATATGGTTAAACGTTGTGCCTCGGACATTTGCAACACAGATACGCGTTTCCCAGAGAGGTTGGAGGGGGGTGTCCGTTTTTTCCCTTCCCAAAACCGAAGTAAAATCCTGACAAGTGTCGTGTTTGGATTAAACTGTATGGACGTCCTCAGTCAGCTAAACCCCGCAAATATCAACAAGCACATCTTTTTTGCTTCTAACCTTACTGTGAGTGTGAAGTTATACTAGTTAGACCGTTTTATAATGTTTTAGGTTATGATTTCGGTTCTCATACTGGTTGTTGATACGCTAGCACATGCTGCTAATAAATACAATGTTATACAGTACTCGTGTAGTCCGTTTGCTTTGTAATAACGATTATAGAAGTGAATAGAGACCTACCCAGCTTTGCATGAACAGTGTTGCTCCCTGATATTGTTATAGTCCCAGCCTCCGTCTCCATTAGTAGGAAATGCGATGGTTCATTTTTTTGACTGTGACCGGTAACGTTATGCTTTTGCCTCTATTTTGGATGCCTTGTTGTTTCTTGCGTTACACCTGTGTGTCTTGAATATAGCCTCTGAACGCATATTGCAGCCCCTTTTGCCTACTTCTATCAGACACTTTATATGCTGCTTTATAAAAGTTTGATACCATTTCAGCAGGAACAGCTGTTACAGCATAAGCCATGCAGAGCGCAGATGAAGTTTGACGGATGTAGCAACAGTAACTAAGGGGGGCGGGGCTTAGCCAAAGGTGAATTCCATGCTACATAGGATGCCATTGCCAGGGGTTGGCAACCAAATGTAGTAGGATACAGCATGCTGAAACACTAGAGAGCAGCGACAGCAGCAGTGACTCCGAAAACAGCTATACAACTTGTATAAACATTATTACAGAAATTAGTTATCACCCTGAATTGTAATCTGTTTGTCTATTTCATTAATTATTATTATTATTGTTGTTTTTTTGTTGTTGTTGTTTTTTTTTTTTTTACAAATTGCTGCTTAATGTAACAGTTTTAATCATTAAATACTTTTAAAACTACTCCACACATGATTCCTGTGTGTTTTAGTATTTCAACATTTAGTTGTCAGTACCTTTGTCTCACACTCAGAAACCAGCCTAACCCAAAATCCTCAAATCCTTTTTTTTTTTGATAGAATAAAGCTATCCCACTTGTGAAAGAATATTACAAATACTAGACATTGCAATACAAATAATATATATATTGCATAAATATGCAAACTATATACTGTAAATACATAAACATCAGTTAATGGTTAACTTCTTTCTTGGAACTAGTTTGAATTGACAGGCTATTATAGGCTTGAAATTGAATTCCCTCTAAATTTGTTATGGACCATATAGGGACTGTATGGTTAGTGAAAATGATCAAAATATGATTTCATCTAGTAAAAGTTAACTTCACATGGTAATTTTTATTTTATTTTAACAACAACAAAGGGTAAAGAATGTTACCGATTACAAATGGAATGTTATATATTTTTTTCTTTTTTTTTGCCTACCTGTGAATTAAGAGGCATTGTTCACTCTTACTTTCTAATTACATGTACAGTCAATGCATCAGATGAAAGCTTATCTTCCACTCTTTTGAACGGTATGCTCAGTTTGTTTCTAGCATAAAGTATCAGGGAGATATGGCTCAGGATTCATGAATATAATCAAACCGTTTTAGCATGTTTGGGTGATTCCAGGGAGTTAAAGCAGAATTTGAGGTAGCATTGTTTTGACCCTAATTACAAGTTTCCAGCAGCTTGTTCACCGGGTTGTCCACCCAGGTTGCGATCCTCAGACATCATAGATTTCATTTTTATATGACAACCTTTTACAGCAGCCCATGTCTGCTAAACCCCCTTTGCCCCCTGGGTATTTTCATAAAAAAATAAATATGCAGTCTAAACTGGGAAAGGTCACTTTCATATTGTTGTCCTTTTGCTAGCTTAATTGCTTCTATTGCTCTCCTCATTTGTTGCTTTAGATAAAACCGTCTGCTAAATGGTTAAATGGAAGTGTAAAATTTTTGTGGTTTTATATTGGTTCCTTAGTGTTTGTAGGGATTGGGGTTTGAGGCTAACACATGTACAGCCCTTCAGGCATCTAACAGATGATGAATTTACTCAAATGTGTCTGTGTGAGTGCGAGTATAAAGGCCAGATGTAATGCCAATGTGAGTCTAGCTGTATGATAATTCCGCCCTGGGCGGCCCATGCTCCACTTTACCCAATAATTACCACTTAGGTTATAATCGATGACCTTTTTAATGCTGACCGCTGCAGGATCAACTCTGGGCGAAACGCTGTCTGAATGTTAGGCTAATGGCAGCTTGAATGGAGCAATGCATTAATGTTTAGTGAATGCTGGGCAAATGCTAGCTTGATGCTGGCCAAGCTCTGGACTCAAAGAGATTAAACAGGGGGCAAAACTTGGCTGAATGTTGGACGTATGCTGGCTGAATGAAGGGGCAAATATAATTGCAAGGCTAACATTGTTTGTTTGAATGCTGGCTTAATCTTGGCCCGATTCCAATTTCAAACTGGCCTTATGATACTGCTTTTGTCGGACTCAATCTTGAATTGATTCAGGCTAAACGCTGGCTTAATTCTGGCCTGATGTTTTTCTAGAGCTGGGATTAATCTACTCAATCGCAGGCCAAATGCCGGATTTCCAAGGGCAAATATGTGGGACAAACGCAGGTGCGCTAGGCGAGTGTGAAGCTGGGACGAACTCAGCCTGATTAGCTTAAAAGGCTTTAACAAGATGCTTTTATAAATAGAGTTAGAACAGAAGGGATGAGAAAAGACTAAGTCTCAGCATCTACATCACAGAACATCTGGCTAAGCATTCATGGGCATGTGAAAACCTCATGTACGCTCAAAACTGACAGTGGTAGAATTAGAGTTTGCCCTCTAATCCCAATGAACCTATGCCAAAAGATAATAGGCTAAAATTAGCCTTTAGCTTTAGCGCACACAGTACAGGCTACTTATCGGCAACCAATTAGAGCAGTGTTAGCAGTTAATAAGCGATTAGTGGGTCACATACACGCTCTCAGTGCAGTGGACAACTGCTGCAGGGGGCACTTACTGAGACTCTCAAAATGGCATCTGATCCATTTAACTGGTTATGTCAGGACACTGACTCGACTCTAATCACTGAGTGGATGGAGTGAAGTGGAAATGCAGAGAGACAATCTGGGTGTTTTTTTTTTTCAATTTCAAAGAGAACGCCACTATGTCCTACTCACTCTAAAGGGCAGAACACTTAAAGTGAGTACTCTGAAGGGTGCAGGGCTTCACTGTCTCACATCTGCATGATTGGGACACACTACACAAATATATGTCTCTGCCACTTTATTTTGAATCGTAAAATTGGCTTGATAACGTACGCAGTAAAATTCATGGGAAATTTTTCATTCTGACATTATTTACTCATCGTGTAATTTCAAACCTGCCTGGAACACGAAAGAAGACATTACTTTTCAACTGCGTTTGTCCAAACAACCAAAGTCATTGGTGTCCAGCCAAAACAACACTATACCCCCACTGACTTTCATGATAAATTGTAAAATAAACAAAAAAAGAACAACAGATATTATTTGTTCCATAAATACAAGTTTGGTATAACAGATGGACAAGAAGTAGAGACAAAAAATGCCTTTAAATTTACATTTAGCAGATGAAACTTCTAAAAGAGGAACAAAGAAGTGCATTAGGAAGCAAGCTAGAGGAAAAGAATTATGCTGAGTAGACTGTTTTGTGTGTTAAAAAGCCTATAAATCGGCCAAAATATGTCTTTATTTAAATCTAGTGTTTTGCACATTTCTGTGATGGGGTAGGTGATAGAAAATATATTATTAACCTGATGTAAAATCATTGGAAATCTATGCAATGTTCTCACTATAGTTTTGCACCTTAAACTTCACAACAGTCACAACTGGGAGGCAGCGGAGTGAAATCAGGAGGGGTGTGACGTTGGGTGTAAAAACAAAATGTTTAAGATAGTGTAAAGATATTTTTTAAAAGAATATTATTTTCACCAAAAATTTTTCATTGACAATTATTATTTTTTATGGAATATTGCAATGTTTATTGAATGATTTATCCATGCATATTATCTATGCCTATTTTTAATCAAAAACAACATGATTTACAGGTTTTACAATTTTGAATTGGCTTGACTTGCAAATTGAGAATGATTCATTTTGAGTTTAATTTGATTAGTGATTCATTTCTCAATTTTAAAATGCATTTTGGTTCAAACCATGTTAATTCTCAATGCAAATGAACCCACATTTAATGTAGTCTGGGTCATATTTACATTTACCTTGTTTAATCTTCTACAAAGCAACAGATGAATTTGTGCCAAAATTAAGCAGAGTTTTCTGGACAAAATTCTTTTTATGTCAACAACAAAAGACATGGAAAGCAGCACTTTCTTCTTCCTTTGAGGAGCAGATAAGCCTATTTATTTATCTATGCATTATCATATATGGTTAGAATTTACTATTCACATTTCGCATCGTTCCTCTTCTCAGCCCTACAACCCATTTTTGGGTCACGAGTCACGACCCATCAGATGAAAAGCACTGCCTGAGTATTCACACACACCGTTGATTTAAAAACACCCCGACAGTGTCATTCTCCATCCCATCTTGCTCTCTCTCTCTGCCTTTTTCTAAGTGTCTCTCGCTCACACATACGAGGGTGTAGAAAGCACACAGTCTATATTTAAAGCAACATCGTTTACACCCTCCTCACATAGACAAGAGAGAGCAGAGAGGACGGCAGCTGAAAGAGACAAAAGAGAAAGATTACAGATAAACAGATGAATACAGCTAAAGACTGACGAAGAAAGCCAAAAGGAGAGACAGAGAGAAATAAACGAGAGAGAGAGAGGGAGGGAGAAGATGAGTGTTTGTATGTGAGTGATAACACGGGTTGAAGTGTAATAAATAGAGTCCAAAACAGACAGTGAAAAATAACCCCTTCATCTCTCCATTTCCCTCTTTCTCCTTCCTCATCTCTCTCCATCTGTGCTTCACTTCTTCTTTCCTTTTCCTCCTCCTTCCATCTGTCTCTTTCTGTGTCTCCATATTTTCCCTCTGGTGTTCTCTCACCTCTCCACCCTCTCCTCTATCCCTCTGCCTCTATTACGGTCTCTGTGTTTCCTCCACTGCATATGTAGATGTCTATTTTTTAGCCTGATTAACGTTTGATGGCCATTAAACATCCTTTTGGTTCCTCTCTGATGTCCAACTGTTTCTGTGTGTGTGTGCTGTTGAACTAGATGAAGTCGTTATTGTCGTATTAATTGGTCAGACTATACGCACATTTATAAGATTTGATTTGATTGATCTTCGAACTGCTGGGACATACTGTATTTGCTTAATCATAATTTGGAAATGTGTGTGTGGCACCAAATATTGGTTAATGAAGCTTAATGGAAATTGCAAGAACTCATTTGGATCAGACGAAGATCTATGGATATAACACATAACGCCTACCCATTCGCCAAGAGATTTGTAAGAGGTAATGGGTCAACATACAGTCACTTAGTGACGGCCCTATTGATAAACAGAATGGACAACAACATTTTTTACATTTTATGTAAAAATATCACATTTACAGTAATATAAATACATGATAAAAAAATTTATATTTTAGATGCCTTTTATAAAAATAATTTTCTTACTGTAATTAGCATTGATTTTTTTTTCATTGATCTATTACTGTAAGATAAATACATTTGGTTTATTATCTTACAACGATTTTTTACAAAGAGAAATAAATTATTAAATTATGGAGGTTAATTTGTCCTACAGAATCTTTGCAGCGTAAATCACCTTTTTTGCTTAAAAATTATGGAAAAGCAGTAGATAGATAGATAGATAGATAGATAGATAGATAGATAGATAGATAGATAGATAGATAGATAGATAGATAGATAGATAGATAGATAGATAGATAGATAGATAGATAGATAGATAGATAGATAGATAGATAGATAGATAGATAGATAGATAGATAGATAGATAGATAGATAGAGCACTTGTGTAGAGCTATATGCAGTACATTAGTAGGTCATTCGGAAGGTTTTTTTCAACATGACCCTTTCCAACCCCCCACTCAATGCCAGCTGTTGCCCTATAACTGCCCCACCCCAAGCACTCACACACACACACACAGGCTTTTCTGCCCGAGAACTACCCCCCTTATCCTTATGTCATTTTCCCCTTTTTTCATCCTTCTCTCTTCTTTTTTTCATTTTCACACAATTTATGTTTCAATTTGAAGAGAAGTTCCATATAAAAATGAAATGTAATTTTCATGTCAAAACAAACAGTCCTGACGACCACATTTCACATGAACAGATTTAATATGAATGATGTTGGAACAATATTGTTACAGCTTGAAAATTTTTTATATTGAGCACACAAAGATTGTTTCATGCTTGCTTGAGGATCAAGCTGAAATTAATACTAGAAATCCTAGAAAATATGATTCAATATAAAATATTTACAATATATTTACTGTTAGAGAACATACATTCAAACACACTGCATTGGACAGGTCTCATTAAATGACAGTAAAACATACATTTTTTTTAAAATGTATTCTCTTTTGTTTCTCTTTCCCGCTCTTTTTCACAGTCGTTGTGCATGTAAAACATTACATTGCGCCTGTCAAACATTGTTAGTGCACTGTCTCACCCCCCAGAGAGAGAGACTGAGCAGGGGGCAAGAAAGGACAGAATGACCCAGAGAAAGAGAAAGAGGGAGAGAAAGAAAGACAGAGAACGGCCAAGTCTCAAAACCAGTGTGCTGAATCTATAGGTTCCTTTCGAATGGCCTATGATCCCCAAAGGTAACATGCTCACTATGTTTTATTCAATCGTTTGAACTTGACATGATAGCCAAAAGTGCCGTCTAGGAAGACAACTCAATAGATTTGTTTCAAGTGTTTGAACATGACAATGATACCCAAAAGTGCAAACATGCATTTGATGCCCAAAAATGCTGCCTACACTGAAAAGAAAATCACAAATTGCTAGTACATTTCACAAATAAATGACAAGTCACATTAATATAGAATTAAACATGAAATTCGGAAGTAAACACTGAAACAGTAGTTTCTCATAAAATGTAATACAATTACCTGTTTTATTTAAATCTTATAAAACAGTTTAGGTATAGGCAGCTCAATAAGGCCAAAAATACTGTCTACAGTACACACTAGTAGGATGCCCAAGAATAGAATCTAGGCAGGCCGCTCATATGCTTTCATATTTATAGGTTCAGTTTAAAACACACCTATGCTCAAAAGTGTAGCTCACTAGGTTAAAGTCAAACATTCAGACATGCTCCACATTTGAACAAGCCTATATGTGATTCCCAAAAACGCTGTCTAGGCAGCTCACTAAATTTTGAGATGCAGCCAATGAAAAAGAGCACTTAGTGCTTTGGCAGGTATTGAGGGAACTGCAGCCAATAAAGCACTTTGAGAAATAAGAGGTCAATTACAAGGAGGTGGAGATATGGTATCTCTTTATCAAGCAAACAGACACATGGTGACCTCAGCCACCACAACGCCACCATAAACATACTCGCACAACTAACAACCATGGCAGTGTAGACTCAACTTCGAGCACTTTCTCACTCGCTATCGGTCCATCTCTCATATACACACACACTTACGCCGACAGACGCCAGGAGCCTCGGAGAGTCTTGTGATGGATAGAAGCAAAGAGAGGAGAGAACAGGGTCCTGAGGGAGAAAGAGAGATATAGAGACAGATAGAGGGAGTGACAGTAAGAGGTGAAAGAAGAAAGAAGGGGGGTGACGAAGATAAACCATAAATTAAATCATTTTAGAACAAAGGAGGAAGGTTGCTACGCAACCAGACAGGGAGGTTACCAGGGGCAACCACTATGACCTGAAGCTTGACCCTCAAGACGAAGCGACCTCAACCCACATGCACGCAAAACAACCCATTTTCCCTTGATTTGTTTTGCTTTCCTTGGTTTTAAAGAAACAAAAGAACTGAGGAAAGAGTATAAAACAGCACATCAAAATGAAGAAAACATCAGTTGGAGATTGCAATGTACATACACAGTATGTTGTGTGTGTGAATGTGTGTTTACTTAGCTATACTTCAAAACAAAATTATGCATACATAAGCTAAACCTGAACCAGGATGTCCTCAAAGGTGAGAATTAATAATAAATCATGTTTGTTGTCCTTTCAAATATAAAAAAATATCGCATTAAGGGTAGATGGGCTTCAAAATAAACACTATCAAGTGCCAAATGTGAGTAAAAACTGGCTTTGGCAACAAAACACCTTAAAAAAAGTAGTCTGACCCTCACTGATGTAAGTGCAGTAGTCTTATCTACCCGATTAGACATCCGTTGCATTTCCTGACATCCTTATACTTATTTATATATTATATAAAAATATATAATATGGAATATATTATATTTATATAAATAAATGGTATATATATATATATATATATATATAATTATTTTATTATTATCTATTTGTGTTTCTAATTAAAACAATACATTTATATATACTATAGTTTCTATGACAAATTGGCTCATCCAAACATACTTATGTAATACCATTTGAGTATTTTGTTGTTACATAATACAAATCAGTTTCTGTACTGATGCCAGACTTGAATAATCTGATCTTTTGGTTTGAGCCCATTAAGTTACACACACAAAAAAAACACAGCATAATAAAATGAGATGAAGTCCCTAAGTCACTATCTTATTAAAAACAGACATTGTTGTGTAATAAATACAACTTTTTGTAATTGAATTTCCAGCAAAAACAACTAGATTGTGATATATATAACATTACTGTAAAATCACTCATGTGATATTAGATTGCATGCCGCCTTCACCAATCAGTATTAAATAAAACAACAGACGTCTATATGTCCTCATTTATCTTGATAACAGTGTGTGTGTGTGTGTGTGTGTGTGTGTGTTCCAAAGTTTGCTGATGATAGAAAAGTTGGAAAATGAGAAATAACATCAATACTCTCTCTCTCTCTCTCTCTCTCTCTCTCTCTCTCTCTCTCTCTCTCTCTCTCTCTCTCTCTCTCTCTCTCTCTCTCTCTCTCTCTCTCTCTCTCTCTCTCTCTCTCTCTATCTTTTTAGTTAGAATCAGAGTTATTTTGTTCTCTGAGAACTGAAGTATGATGGGAATTATTTCGGACGGCAGCACAAAGACTCCCTCTGCTCTCAACCGAACACACACACACACACACACACACACACACACACACACACACACACAATAGACCAAAGCAGCATTCAGCCCCTCTCATAATTGCCACACACACACACACACTCCACATAAAAGACTCAAATGTAGGGTGCACAACAACACACACCGTCCCATGCCACATACTGTAACAGCACATTTGCACAGACACACAACGCATTTTTGGACAGTAGGTTCCCCGTATTCATTCATAAATCATAGCATTTATGCACACACATACAGAACGGAAACCTACACTCAAGCTAGTATGAAATATTAAGTTCACTGCATTGTGAAGTCCACACTTCACTGTGATCAGACTTTAAATGGAGGGATACACTGCTCTCCTCAGCAACACCCTCTCTCTCTCTCTCTCTCTCTCGCAGCCGCTTCTTTTTAAACAGCTCTCTACTGTTTGTCCCCTTCAGTTCTTCACTTTAGTCTTTCATGCACTGTGCAGGCAACTCGGCCTCTCTTGCTCTCTCCATCCCTCAGTTCTGTCACTATACATCCTTTCTTCTCCACGATCTCCCTCCCATTTCTCTCCTTCGTTCTTTTGCTCTTTCATTCCCCAGAGTCCGACAGCAGGAGACTATTACACTCACAGACGGAATCTCTCTCCTCCAATTTCTCTCTGTCTGTCTGCCGTCTTCCCTCTCTCTCACTCGTTCTCCCTCCTGTGCATTCGCTGTCCCATTCCCTCCCACTCATTCTGCCCCATCTCTCCTTCTCTTTCGCTCTGTCTTTTCCTGAGTGGATGTAATTGGTATCTATAGGACACTCCCTGAGAGAGAAAACTGACATACACTGCAGAATGAAAAACAGCCAGCACAATACACCAGAGCAAACAGACCACGCTACACCAGAGCAATCAAGACCAACACAACAGGTCAGAGCCATCAACAACACAACACAACTGAGAGAACAAACACGGCACGATTGACATCACACTGGAGCAAACAAGTACAAAACAATACATGCAAGCAAACAAACAACACATCCGAGCAAACAAAAAACAAAACAGAGTGAACAAGAACGTCACAACAGATTAGATGTCTCAGCAATACAACAGCGCAAACAAACGCCCAGGTGCTCAGTGGTTATTAAAAAAAAAATAAATAAAAATATTTATGGGATAAACCTCTTCAAGGGGGTCCCAACATATCATAATCATTACATCACAACAAAAATATGCACTGGCAGTCAAAATTTAAAATAATTTGAAAGATTTTTTATAATGTTTCTGAAAGAAGTCTCTAATGCTCACCAAGACAGCATTTATATATAAATATAAAAAAAACAGTAATATTGCAGAAATAATTAAAATTTAAAGTTTAATGTTTTAAAATGTAATTTATTCCTGTGATGGCAAAGCTGAATTTTAAGCATCATTACTCCAGTCTTTAGTGTCACATCAGAACTTATTCTAATATGCTTATTTGTTGCTCCGGAAACATTTATTATTATCAAAGTTGAAAACAGTTCTGCTTAGTTAATATTTTAGTGAACGCTGTGATACACTACCATTTAAGTAGACTAAGTAAGTTCTTTTTTTTAAAAAAAAATAGATATTAATGTTTTTATCAATTTTTAAGATATTTATAAAAGATTTATATTCAAAATAACTGCTGTTATTTTGAACTTTCTCTTAACCCAAGAATCAGTAAAATATATATATCACAGTTTATACAAAAATATCAAGCAGCATAAACTGTTTTTAACATTGATTGTAATAAGAACCATTATTGAGCAGTATTTTAGAATGATTTCTGAAAGGATCAACATTTTACAATGTTACTGTTTTTACTGTATTTTTAATCAAATAAATGCAGCCTTTAAAAAGACTTAAAGGGGTGATGAACTGAGAAATCAAATTTTCCTTGAGATTTGACATCTAAGAGGTCATCATATAAGAATATCCTGTAAGTTTCAGAACTGAAAACGTCCTTGTTAGTCTAATAAAAGTTTTTATTGACACCAGCCTCAGCAAACGACTCATTTTTCAAAGTGGGGGAACTATGACGTGACGTTAAAGAGGATAAAACACCACCCCTGCAGGAGAAGATCAACGCCTTCAACACGGCCGGTTTAGCCCCGCCCACCGATTCGCGCATTACACGCAATTCTGCATAGCTAAAAAACATAGATGGCTACCTTGTGATGACAATCCGGATCGATCTACGAGCAATACAAACTGCATAAGCTTCCTCTGGATTCCAATAGGACTGCATGGATAAACTTTATTTTTAATGACGTTCCAGCTGATGAGGGTAATACATCGTCCGTCTGTTCGCTTCATTTTACTGAGGATTGTTTTGTAAACAAGACTGGATTTGCAGACCGATTAAGAGTAAAGAACGGTGCGGTATCGTCTATATTGGATCCGACAGGAATGGTGCAACACACGGACTCTGGGTCGAATATGTATGGGCGAATCATTCCAAAATTGCCATTTTACAACATTGGACATTTTCAAAACAATTTCCCCCAAGTGCATCGACGGGTGAGTTGAAACTCATTATAATATGGAAAACTGTTCTCCACTCACAGCAGTGGGCGTTTACTTCCAAGTCTTCAGTGCGAGACGCCCATAAAAACCCAGCGTTTTTCAGGTAAGCTCAAAACTTGGGTACAAAATAGCCTATTACTTATTCATTATGATGTTTTTGAATGCAAAAACCAAGCGAACATCATAAGTTGACCTCAGACAACAATATAATAAAATCACAACCCCTTTAAGTTATATATAACTTTTGACCACCAGTGTATAATTGTCAATAAAGACAACAAAAAACACAACCATTCATTAAAAAAAAAAAATGTAGCCTACATTAAAAATGCCAATGTGTCAAGATATAAACAAACTGTTAAATGTTACATTAATTTAATTTCCCATCCCATGTATTCAAGAAAATAACTTTTAAGGCCTCTGGAACTTTTCAAACAGAACGGGACATGCGAAACGAGATAACACGCCAGAAGAAACCTTTTTGAATTAGTCTGCTCAGTGCCCAATACTGCAGTAAAAGCCAAAAGAAATCGATTCATGCAAACCTGAGAGACGTTATTCAATGTCCAAAACAGAACACAGCAATCAAGAGTGGAATACCACTAAAACAGACCTGAACCATCTATTGTGGAGCACCACAAATTAGACCTGGGAAAAGTGCCGTGGAATAAAGTGAGCAATCTGCTGCAGAGTCAGGCCACGCCAATCTACTGAAGCACACCACAAATTGGGACTTAAGAATATTGGACTGCTAGATATTTTGAGAGAGAGAGAGAGAACAGTTTAATGGTTTAATGTCAAGAGCTCTGAATAACAAACTATTCGTATTATTTCTATAGTAAATGTGTTAATGCTGTCATTGGTATTGTTACCTTTTTAGAATGTAGGTATCGACTTATTTTGACAACACTTGAAGTACACTCGTCACAGTATTTCAGTTTGGGTGTGCATGGATTACATGTGTAAAAGACGCCAGCTA